GGAACACCGTGTATTTCTAAATGGCAATAAGACGGTGGTGTTAAAGTAGCTAGCAGGGAGTATCGAAGACGGGGCGGCTTCGCGGGGTATCTGAGGTTGGAACGATGCGGCCCGCTCAACTGAGCGGGCGCACCTTGTTACTGCTGTTCAGCTCAAAGCCAACAGCATGTTTTTACTACTGCAGATCGAATCGATCCAGACGCATAACCTTTGTCCAGGCGCTGACGAAATCCTGCACGAATTGTTCCTGTGCATTGTCGTAAGCGTAAACTTCAGCGATTGCGCGTAGCTCGGAGTTGGAACCAAAGATCAGATCCACAGGGGTTGCGGTAAATTTCGCTTCCCCGGTTGCTCTGTCGAAACCTTCGTAGAGGCCTTCTGTATCAGCTTTGCGCCATTGTGTGGACATATCCAGCAAATTAACGAAGAAGTCATTGGTCAGCGTGCCGGGCGCATCTGTTAATACGCCATGCGCAGTGCCGTTCCAGTTGGTATCAAGTACGCGCATACCGCCTAACAAAGCTGTCATCTCGGGCACGGTCAGTTTTAACTGATCAGCTTTGTCTACCAGCATTTCGGCCGGTGTACGGTAGCTTGCTTCAGCATTGAAGTAGTTGCGAAACGCATCGGCTTTCGGCTCGAGTAACGCAAATGAAGCGACATCAGTCTGCGCCTGAGTTGCATCAGCACGACCTGCTGCAAATGGCACGTTGATTTCAACGCCTGCAGCCTCTGCTGCTGCCTCAACACCAGCACCGCCTGCCAGCACGATCAGATCTGCCAGTGAGATTTTGGCCTTGCCGGAGCGATTAAAGTCAGCTTGAACCTCACGCAAAGTCTGCAGTGCCTGTGCCAGTACCTGCGGATTGTTCACCTGCCAGTCTTTTTGAGGTGCTAATGCCAGGCGGGCGCCATTTGCGCCACCGCGCATGTCGCTGGCGCGAAAGCTCGATGCGGATGCCCACGCAACGCTGACTAATTCTTTTGGCGTCAAACCAGAGTCGAGGATTGTCTTCTTTAAGCGTTTTACATCACGGTCGCTGACCAGTGGGTAGTCGACTGCGGGGATCGGGTCCTGCCAGATCAGTTCCTCTGCGGGTACCGCATCGCCAAGATAGCGCTGTCGTGGCCCCATATCTCTGTGCGTCAGCTTGTACCACGCCTTCGCGAATGCCAATTGATATTCATCCGGGTTGGCCAGAAAACGTTCTGCTATGGCTTTGTACTGCGGATCAAATTTGAGCGCCAGGTCAGCAGTGGTCATAACCGGGGCATTGAACTTGCCCTCGACATGAGCATCCGGCACTGAATTGTGCAGAGACTCATCCGTTGGAATCCACTGGATCGCGCCACCGGGTGAGCGAGTCTGTTGCCACTCGAAGTTCAACAGGTTCTGTAAATAAAGCGTGGTCCATTGGGTAGGCGCCTGTGTCCATGCACCCTCCAGGCCGCTGGTAACGGTATCTTCTGAGTGCCCTTTGCCACATTTGTTTTTCCAGCCCAGGCCCTGTTCTTCAAGGGCCGCACCGGCAGGCTCTTTACCAACACATTCGCTGGCTTTGTGCGCACCGTGCATTTTGCCGAAGGTGTGACCACCGGCAATCAGAGCCACGGTTTCTTCATCATTCATCGCCATGCGTCCGAAGGCGACGCGGATGTTTCTGGCTGAACCAATCGGGTCGGGTTTACCTTTTGGTCCTTCCGGGTTGACGTAGATCAGGCCCATATGGGTCGCGCCAAGTGGTCGCTGCAGCTCGCCATCGCGGGTTTCGCGATCGCTTGCCAGCATTTTCACTTCCGGGCCCCAGTAAACCAGATCCGGTTCCCAGTCGTCAGTCCGTCCACCAGCAAATCCATAGGTTTCAAAGCCCATGTTTTCCAGCGCAACGTTGCCAGCCAGAATCATCAAGTCACCCCAGGAGAGGCTGCGTCCGTATTTCTGTTTTACGGGCCATAGCAGACGTCGGGCTTTGTCGAGGTTGCCGTTGTCTGGCCAGCTGTTGAGCGGATCGAAACGCATCTGTCCGCCATCACCGCCGCCGCGACCATCAAGGGTGCGGTAGGTACCAGCCGCGTGCCAGGACATACGAATGAAAAATGGGCCGTAGTTACCGAAGTCTGCAGGCCACCAGTCCTGTGATTGGGTGAGGAGTGTGTCGATGTCTTTCTTGACTGCCGCCAGATCGAGTTGAGCAAATGCTTCCGCGTAGTCGAAATCATCGCCGAAGGGATTTGAGCGTGCATCATGGTCGCGTAGAGATGAGAGGTTGAGCTGCTCCGGCCACCAGAAGTTGTTGGACCTGGGCTCACCCGCTGATACCGCACCGGTGCCACTGGTGCCCTGAGGTTTTGCCATGTCAGCTTCAGCGGAAGCCGGGTTGGTTGCTGCGAACAGCGCTACCAGTCCTGCCACGAGAGTCGCTTTGATTGGAATGTGTATATTCATTGCGTTTTTGATTACCTTTTTGAGGAAATGCCCTTTTTTGCATATCGTTAGTCTGATAGTAGGCTCCTTTCACTGGTAGATAAAATAGATTGTTTCGATCGGTACGATTGGCAAAGACTATTGGTTCGATTTTGCTGTTTTGCTCAGGAGCGTGGGGAATGCTGCAGACTAATTTCCGGGGAGCGGGAAAAATGAGTGTTCGCGCAAACGTCATTTCTTTCATTCTTCGCCACTCGCTTAAAAAACGCATGGCTTCGTTTGATGATCCGCTCGAACTGCGCGGGCAGGCCGGAGCAACCATCGGCAAATTCCCTGCTGAAGCGGTCACTGAATCCGTGAATGCTGATGGCGTTGGTGCGCAATGGGTAAGTTGGCAGACGACATCTGTTGATGCGGCGCCTGGCGATACCGTTATTCTTTATCTGCACGGTGGTGGTTATGTTTTTGGTGGGCTGGACAGTCATCGCGGACTGGCTTGGCGACTTGCCAGACAGTGCGCAAGCAAAGTGCTCGTAGCAGATTACCGCCTGGCGCCTGAGCATGTTTATCCGGCTGCTGTGGAAGATGCAGTAACCGCCTACCAGTGGCTCTTGGCTCAGGGTATTCCCGCGCAGAACATTGTGGTTGCCGGTGACTCGGCCGGTGGCGGCCTGTCTGTTGCGCTGCTTGTGAAGCTCAAAGAACTGGGTTTGCCTCAACCGAAAGCGTGTGTCTTGTTTTCCCCCTGGACGGATTTAACCCTATCTGGTGGGAGCATTGAGGAAAATGCAGAGAAAGATGCGATGCTGTCCCCGGCTGCATTAGAACGGTTTCGCGATTTGTATCTTGGAGGTCCTGGCGGTATTGATCCCCGCACGCCATTTGCATCCCCCTTGTTTGCCGATCTTTCTGCGCTACCCGATACTTATGTGCTGGTCGGTAGTGAGGAAGTGCTGCTGGACGATTCGAAACGTCTTGTTGAAAAGCTCAACGAAGCGGGTGGCCGGGCGACGCTGTCGGTATGGCCAAAGATGCCGCATGTTTTTCCCCTGCTGGCACCGTTCCTACCGGAGGGAGACAAGGCGATAGCGGAAGTGGCAACGTTTTTACGCACGCAACACTGACGCTGGGTGCGATGCTTACTTAGATGTCCAGCGGGCCTTTCGATTCTGCCTTGTCTGCGCTGTTCAATCGTTCAGCGAGATTCTGTAAAACCAAACCCTGAGGGTCGGCGATAACCGGCGCCATAGCGAGGTGGAATGGTTCTTCAGATGACGCCTTCTGGGCAACGACAATGATTTCTTCACTGACTGTTGCCAACGTGTCTTCAGCGTGCTGTGCCTGATGGTTGTCTTCAGCCTGTGCAGACAGGCTTAAAAAGAGAAGGCCAATGCTGGTGAGATATGCTGTTTTTGATGACATGTTACTTTTCTACCCACTTTGTTGGGCGGCATCATACTCACAAGGCGAGTTGGATCTGTGACTCAGCTCGCACTGTACGATCAAAACTGTTGGTTGAGCTTACGCCAGCTGTGGCTGCTGGTGCTTTTCAATCTCTTCACGCAATTCATCCGGCCAATCGATAGCGCGGCGCGCGTCGAGATCGATACAAACACCTACGGTATCGCTCATACCTAGCAGCTGGCCGGTGTTTTTGTTCAGCGCCCAGCGTCGCGACAGTCTCGACTTGGCTTCAACTTTTAAATCGGTGCTGAAATAACTCAATTCATCTCCCAGCCGCGGCTGCGCAAAAAGCATGGTGCGTGTTTCCATCACCGCCCAACCGATACGCAAGCCAGCAGACGTGGTGATAACCGGAGGCCCGGGCTTTACGCCCGCTTCTAACGCCATTTTTGCAAAGGGTAAGAACATCAGCTCAACGTCTTCTTTGAGCCAGCCTTCTGCGTCGACATCCTCTGCCTCAATAAGCGCAGAGCGTTTCCCACTCATCATGCCACCACCCTCTACGTCAGGTATGCTGTTCTGCAGTACTTCCAGAGTAATATCGGTTTTTGCAGGTCCCAGGGTCAGGCTCCGAGGCTGGGCATATGCCGGTATATCAATGTAGGTTGAGCCGCTAATATTTCCCGTTGGGATTGGCAGGGTTTGCGTGTCGCGCGTTTTGCGGTCAATCAAGGCTGTGGTCACCACAAAAGTGGCTGCAACAGCATCGGTATCGGGGTTTCGAATTTCGACGTAGCTCTGTACGCCGCCTTCACCCATCGACAGCAGACCACCCACGGTCTGCAAAGTTGCACCCTCAAACTGTTCGTTGCGGAAGCGGGTATACGTATCGACCGAGCGTAAAAAACTGTGTTCCAGAACGCCTGGGTCTATGCCGAGGGTATCGACCAGCAGACGGTTAGCGCTCTGCATTCGTGTCATATAGTACCGAACGTTCATATGCCCCAGAGAATCTATCTCTTCGGCAAGGACAGTGGAGGTGTGCAGAACTTGCATCAGCTATGGAACCCTTAGTATGTTGGACAAAGCCCACCATTATACGGATTTTAAGGGCAGAGTAAGATTTTGAAGTCATTCTGCTCTGGCCAGACGGTCCCGCAAGCGAGAAGTCATGCAAAATTTCATACAGTTCCGCAATCTCCGCCTGAATCGCAGTCTGCTGCTGGTTGTTTTTGCACTCATAAGTGCTGCCTGCAGTTCCGAGGACTCCGTACAGGCTCCGGTTGCGGCAGCGCCCTCTTACAGCGTTGATATTCGCTGGACAAGTTACGGGATCCCTCATGTCAAAGCTGAAAACTGGCAAAGTCTGGGTTATGGGTTTGCCTACGCCACAGCAACGGATGCGGTGTGTGTGATTGCAAAAGACGTTGCGATGGTGAACGGCAATATGTCCCGGTATTTTGGGGACAGCGATGAACATCTCGCCAGCGATGTCTTTCACAAAGCCATCCTCACTGACGCAAAACTTCAGGATTACCAGGCCGCGCAGACAGAGCGAACCCACGCCTTTAACGATGGCTATGTCGCGGGCTACAACCGCTATCTGCGTGATCACCAAGGCACTCTGCCTGCCAGTTGTCAGAATCAGGCCTGGGTACAGAATATTTCCCTGCAGGATATGCATCGACTCGCCATTGGTGTCGGTATTCGGTATGGCCTGGGGCGTTTCCAGAAGGAGATAGCTGGTGCTTCACCGCGCGATATGCTGGATGAGCAAAAACAGGTTGCAACCAATACGCAATGGGAATGGCCGGCGGGTATCGGTAGTAATGCGGTCGCGGTGGGCAGTGCATTGTCGCAATCAGGACGCGGAATGCTCCTGGGTAACCCGCATTATCCATGGCATGGATCCTCGCGGTTCCACCTTATACACACCACTATTCCGGGAGAAGTGGACGTGATGGGCACGAGTCTGCTCAACACTTCGCGCGTGGCGATTGGCTTCAATAAAGACATTGCCTGGACACACACCGTTTCGACGGCACTGCGTTTTACGCTCTACCAGCTTGAGCTCAATCCTGAAAATCCGATGGAGTACAAGTATCAGGATACGTTCAGGCCGATTCAGGCGCGGACCCTGCAGGTTGCTCATGTGGATGCGCAAGGCAACTCGAAAACAAGTGAGCACACGGTCTATTTTACCCACTATGGACCGATGATCGAAAATGAGCAATTCCTCTGGGGTGAGACCCACGCGTACACCCTGCGCGATGCAGTGTTAGATAATTATCTGACTGCTGATACCTATGATGCGCTTAACAGTGCGGGTTCGACCGCGGAAGTTGAAGCTGCGATCAGCAAGCATGGTGTCTATTGGACCAACACAATTGCCGCAGATCGACAGGGGAATGCGTTCTATGCTGATATCAGTGGAACCCCGAACGTGGATGCAGACCTCATTGAAGCCTGCGGTGTCAGTGTTGAAGGTGCGCCAGAGCGTTTGGTTATCCTTGACGGATCGAGGCCGGATTGTGAGTGGAAGAATGACCCTCGCAGTGCGGTTCCCGGTGCCCTGCCAGCACAGGACATGCCGCGCATAACCCGGCAGGACTATGTCACCAATTCCAACGACAGCTTCTGGTTAAGTAACCCAACTGCACCGTTGGAAGGTTACTCCCCGATTATTGGTTCTGAACGCAGTGCGCGTTCCTTGCGTACCCGTGCAGGCCTCACTCAAATGGCGGCTATGGTGGCAGCGGAAAATAAAATTGCGCCAGATGATCTTAAAAACATGCTCTACAATCATCGAAATTATGGCGCCGAGCTGTTGCTGGACGACGTGTTACAGCTATGCGATGAGGATGCAGAGATCAAGCCTGCTTGCGATGCCCTGCAGCAGTGGGATCGAACCATGAACGTTGATGCCAGAGGCGGGCACGTCTGGCGTGAGTTCTGGTCGATTGCTCGCAATCTCGAGAATATCTACGCAACACCTTTTAATGTGAATGATCCGGTGAACACGCCAGCAGGCATCAATCTCAGCGATGCCGATGTAAGGTCTGCTTTACGAACGGCTCTGGTTACCGCGCAAACGACTCTGCTGGAGGCGAACATCGCGCCGGATGCTCGCCTGGGTGATATTCAATACGCACCGCGCAATGGCAGGAACATTCCGATACCCGGCGGACAAGGCTGGGCGGGTATGTTCAGTATGATTATGGCGGACCTGGATGCAGAGAAAGGATACACACCTATCGTCCATGGCAACAGTTACATCCAGGTGGTCAGTTGGGATGAACAGGGGGCGCTGCAACCGTCAGCGATGCTGACCTATTCTCAGTCTCCTGAACCGGAGTCTCCACACTACAGTGATTTAACGGAGATCTATGCCAAGGGAGGCTGGATTGACCTGCCTTTTACTGAAGCGGAAATCGAAGCTGATCCAAATCTGCGACGTCTGCAACTGGAGGAGTAGGATTGGTGGTTAGCAGTATTTTTCGGCGGGAGGGCCGGCAATGACGTTCAGGCTGGGCATTCTGATTTGCCTCTGTGTTGGTTCGCTCGCTCATGCGGAATCGCGCAAGGTGACGTTACTGTTTACCAATGATTTTGAAAGTGCATATGATCCAACAGATGCTTTCTGGCGTGAAGATATAGAGCATATTGGTGGTGTAGCTCAGTTAGCGTCCCTGATTGAACAGGTTCGAGCAGAAGAAGAACTCGTGTTCCTGTTTGATGCGGGCGATATTTTCACCGGCACTCTGGCGAAACTGACGCATGGGGCCATCTCCTTCGAGCTGATGCTGACAATGGGTTACGATGCCATGGTTATCGGTAACCATGAATTTGAGTACGGCTGGGAGCAGTTTGCCAGGGAAAAAAACCGGGTCCCTTTCCCGGTGCTCGGGGCAAACTTGTATTACCGCGGCACAGAGCATCCCTACGCTCAGCCCTACGCGATCATAGAGCGTCAGGGGGTTCGAATTGGTGTGATTGGTATTCTTGGTCAGGACGCGGCCACAGCACTTATTCCCTCCAATATTGCCGGCCTGGAGGTGCGCGATCCCGTCGCTACAACGGCTGCCTACGTAGATCTGTTGCGTGACACAGTCGATCTGGTTGTTGTGCTCACCCATCAAGGTATGACCGCGCCGATGCAGACTGATGACGAAGCGGACCAGACCGTGCAACGCGGAAATGCTGAAAACCTGGCGCTTGCCAAAGCCGTACCGGGCATTGACGTTATTTTTGCGGGGCACACGGATGCTGGAACCCGCGATCCCATTGTCGATCCCCACAACGGTACGATCATTATGCAGACCTATGGTCAGGGCCAGCATTTAGGTTTTCTGCAGATAGAGCTGGAAGATCAGGTGGCTGCGCCCGGTCAGGTTTTGCGCCACGGTTATTCAGGCAAATTGATCACCGTCGACAGTGATTCGCTGCCTGCTGATGTCCGCATTGCGTCGAAACTCGCGCGTTTCCGTGCTGAATACCCGGAAATTTATGAACAGATAGGCTTCAGTCGTCATTATCTGCCTCGGCGCTACTATCGGGAATCTGGCTTAGGTAATCTGTTTGCAGATATTGTGCGTGAGGCCACCGGAGCTGATATTGGCCTGATGCCCTCAGGGGCGCTGCGCAAAGATCTTCCTGAGGGTGTGATCCGCCGTGTTGATTTGTTTGATGCGTTTCCCTTTGAGGATCGCGTGGCAAGTGTCACCGTTACCGGGGCACTGCTAACACAGATTGTTGAGCAGGGGCTCAGTCTTACCCGTGGCATCCTGCAGGTCTCTGGAATGACGGTTTGTTACGATCCAGCGGCGAACGCGTTTGAGCGGATACACCAGATTCATATACAAGGTGAGCCGCTCAGAAAAGACAAAACATATACGTTAGGCACACTCGAGATTCTGGCGCAGGGGGGTGATGCTTATGTGCAATTTGCGCAGGCTCTGAGCACAGAGATACACCCAGTAAGCTTCGCAGATGAACTTGCCAGATTCTTTGCAGAACGGTCCGTTGTAGAATTACCCGCTCCCGGGCGCCTGAATCCTGTGCCCTGTAGTAACGTGAGCGTTGAGCCCTTATAAATTCGTGCGGTAAAACAATGTCAGAGAACAAACATCATGAAGTGATAGTGATCGGTGCCGGTGTTTCCGGTATCTATCAGATCAAATGCCTCCTTGATTCAGGCATCGATGCCGTTGTGTTGGAAGCGGACGACAATCTCGGCGGCACCTGGTACCGAAATCGTTATCCAGGCGCGCGCTTTGATTCAGAAAGCTATACGTATGGTTATTCTTTTTCCAAGGAATTGTTGGATGAGTGGCATTGGCAGGAGCGGTTCTCTTCCCAGCCGGAAAATCTGCGATACCTCAACTACGTCGCCGACAAATTCAACCTGCGTCGCCATATGCGCTTTGACTCTAAAGTGGAATCAATGCACTGGGACGAAGAATCACGGCTCTGGCATCTGCAGCTTGAGCAAGGTGGACGTTATACCGCTCGATTTGTAATAACCGGGATTGGTGTTTTGTCGGTGCCTACGCTGCCTCGCTACCCGGGTATGGACACGTTTTCTGGCGATGCTTTTCACACGTACTGGTGGCCGAAGGAAGCGGTACCTTTAGCGGGGCGTCGGGTAGGCGTTGTCGGAACAGGGGCGACGGGTATTCAGGTTATCAGTGAGATAGCTGACAAAGTTGGTGAGCTTACCGTTTTTCAGAGGCGACCTAACTGGAGCACTCCGCTGAATAACTCGCCCATCTCTATTGCAGAGATGGCTGGCATTCGCGCCCGATACGACGAAATTTTTGCCAATTGCGCAGCCTCGCCAAATGGTTTTGAACATGTCCCCGACAGCCGTGGTTTTTATGCCCTGACGCATGAACAACGCGTGGCGTTCTGGGATGAACTCTACGACAAACCGGGTTTTGCCATTCTTGCAGGCAATTTTCCGGAGATCTTTTTTGATGAAGCGGCCAACCAAGAAATGTCGGATTATGTGGCCAATCGCATCCGTCAGAGGGTCAGCAATCCAGAAGTTGCGGAACAGCTGATCCCTAAAGATCATGGCTTTGGCATGCAGCGCCTGCCCCTGGAAACCCGCTATTTTGAAGCCTATAACCGCGATAATGTGTCGTTGGTGAATATTTCCGAAACGCCGATTGAACGTATGACAGCAACAGGTATTCAAACCACAGCAGCCCACTTTGATCTTGACATGATTGTCTACGCTACCGGCTTTGACGCCATCACCGGTGGCTTTGACCGGATAAACATCACAGGCGTAGAAAATCAGACCCTCAAGCAAAAATGGCGTGATGGACCAAGTACTTTTCTTGGTGTTCTGACCCATGATTTTCCGAACCTGCTGATGGTGGCAGGTCCGCAGAGTGTCTCTGGGTCTACAAATTTTCCCCGGGCGATCGAAGGCGGCGTGAACTGGGTAACGGACCTGCTGAAACACGCTCGTGCTGCGGGACACACACGAATAGAGGCGCAATCCGAAGCTGAGCAAGGGTGGGTGGAAGAAGTTGTACGCGCCCACGAGAAGATGCTGGCAAGGCGCAGCCAAGGTTGGTTTACTGGGTACAATTCTAATGTCAGCGGGCACGAAGCGGGCACGGTACGTTATCAGGCCTACTTCGGTGGTGGCCCCAAATATGCCAACATTCTGGCGCAGTGTGCGGCAGAAGGTTATCAACAGATCGATATGAGCTAACAGGAAACGACTTAACATGACTGTTCAAAAACGAAGCATCGGTGGCACTGCGGTGCACCCCATTGGATTAGGCTGCATGAACCTCAGTCATGCTTATGGGCCTGCGCAGGCGCACAAGGATGCGGTAGCTTTCCTGCAACGTGCTATCGACATCGGTTACGATTTTCTCGATACCGCCACCATCTATGGCATGGGTAACAATGAAAAACTCATTGGCGAAGCACTGCAGGGACGCAGAAGCAGCTTTTTACTGGCGAGCAAATGTGTCATGGGTTTTAAAGATGGCAAGAGATGGCTCGATGGCAGCCCTGAAGCGATCAGGAAGGCCTGTACAGCGAGCCTTGAGCGTCTGCGTACCGACGTCATTGACCTCTACTATATGCATCGCCCCGATCCCAACGTGCCAATAGAAGAATCTGTCGGGGCCCTTGCTGATCTGGTCGCTCAAGGCAAGATACGCATGATCGGTTTATCGGAAATGTCCGCCGAAACGATAAAGAAGGCCCACGCAGTTCATCCCATTTCGGCGGTGCAGTCGGAGTATTCATTGCTCACGCGTAATCCTGAAATTGCGGTGCTGCAGGCATGCCAGGATCTTGGCATCACCTTTGTGCCTTTTTCCCCTGTTGGACGTGGGTTTCTTGCGGACGCTCCTCTGAAGCCAGACGAATACCATGAGAGTGATCTGCGCCGCACGTTTCCCCGCTACAGCGAGCCTCACTTTTCGCAGAATCTGGCGTTGTTAGATATTGCCAAAGCCCAGGCGAAGGCGTTGAACTGTACAGTTGGGCAACTGGCGCTGGCCTGGTGTCTGGCGCAGGATAAAACCTGTGTGCCAATACCGGGCACTACCAACCTGCAACACCTGGAAGATAACTTCGCAGCCGCGGAGATCAGCATGCCTGCTGATGTGCTGGCTCAATTGAATGCAGACTTTGCCCCGGAGGCGGTGTCTGGTTTACGTTATTCGCCGCCAGCCCAGGCGACGGTTAGCACCGAGCGCTATGAATTTGAGATGCGGGCGCAGTGACGATCCCAGGCGTTAACTCGCCTCTGGCTCAAAGTCTTCTTTGACAAAGTCTTCTTTGTACCGCACCGCACAGTCAGGGCAGACAAAATCGTCCGGTAGATCTGCAAACAGATGGCCGGGCGGATATCCCTCGTGATCATCGCCTGAAGCCTCGTCGTAGGTGTAGCCGCACCCGGGGCAGCTGTATTTAAGATACTGAGGCAAATTTGTCTCCGTATTTGTGCAGAATTTCATTGCGCGCCCCGGGATCTATATTGATCTTGTTCAGATCACCTTGCACGTGGGGCAGCGCCAGTAGTTTGGCATCCATGTATTTGAACCACAGGCTGGGTACGTAGGCCAGCAGGTACATACCGTAGTAGCCGCTTGGCAGACTCGGCAAGTCCTCAAAATGACGCAGGCTCTGGTAGCGTCGGGTGGGATTGGCGTGATGGTCAGAATGTCGCTGCAGATGAAACAGGAGCAGGTTGGAATAGATGTGATTAGCGTTCCAGCTGTGGTGTGGCTGGCATCGCTCGTACTTTCCATTGTCCTGTTGCGCGCGCAGTAAGCCGTAATGCTCTATGTAGTTGGCACTGGTCAGAACCCACCATGAGAAGAAGTTGTGGATCACGAGAAACGGTATCATGATCCAGCCGAAGGCGATCAGAAGGGACAGCTGCAGGACGACACTGATCAGATAACTCTGTAACACTTCGTTCTGTAAGCTGAAAACGGGCAAATCTTTGCGCTTCAGTCGCTCCCTTTCAATCACCCATGCTCGGTGAAACGCGCCAGGAATTTCACGTCGTGCAAACCGGTATATTGATTCACCCATACGTGCGCTTGCAGGGTCATCAGGGGTGGCCACATCTCGATGGTGGCCTCGATTGTGTTCAATCCAGAAGTGTCCGTAGGCAGGCACGGCAAGGACAATCTTAGCCAGCCAGGTTTCAAGATCCGTACGTTTATGCCCCAGTTCGTGGCCGGTATTGATGGCAAAGCCATCCGCGAAGCCAATCGCTACCGTTAACGTTAGAAACCCCCACCAGGGCAGCGTCTGGGTGCCTACAAAAACGGCCACCGTGATAAACGTTATATAGTGCAGTGGAACTGTCAGATAAGTCAGCACGCGGTAATAGCGATCTTCCTCCAGCTGGGGCACAAGCGATTCCGGTGGATTATTCTGGTCTTCTCCGAACAACCAGTCCAACAGAGGCGCCACAACAAACATAAGCGTCAGCGGTACGGCCAGCCAGAAAGTCTGCCCAGTGGCCAGAAAGCCGAACACGCCGATCAGAGGCAGCATGGGGTTGATCAGTGAAAGTGACCACCACCAGCGTTTCCGATCGACGTAGGTGACGGTGTGGTCAGTTGAATCAGTAAAACTGTAGGTGCGCATGAGACAGTCTCTTTCCCCTTTGCCCCTACTATAGGCAAAGTTAAGCGATTGGTCAGCCTTCAGAAATAGCGGTACTGCGCCTCATTTTACTGACCCCATCGTGTTCCAGCGCGCGCAGCAGGGCACTTTTCACATCTGCAATGCTGACAGGCTTTGAAACAAAGTCATCCATACCAGCGGCGATACACGCGTCACGATCCTCAGCCAGGGCATTGGCCGTCATTGCGATAATGTAGGGCTGAGTAAGGTCGTCTGTGCCGCGAATGATCTGGGTGGCCTCCAGGCCATCTACATTTGGCATCTGTACATCCATAAAGACGATGGAATAAGTTTGATCACACAACATTTTCACCGCTTCGGAACCATCGCTGGCAATATCCGCCCGAAGTCCCAGTTTTTTCAGAATCTGGCGAGCAACGGTTTGATTCACGACGTTGTCTTCTGCAACCAGCACCGCAATCTCCTGAAGGTCGGCGATACTTTCGTCTGGCGAGTAGGCGCTGGCGGGTTCTGCAGTGTGGTCGAAGGCCCGCAATAAAGCATTGAACAAGTCTGTAGGGCGGATCGGTTTGCGTAGAACCTGAGTAAACTGTGACCAGTCAACGTCACCCCGATCCAATGAGGTGAGCAGAACAACAGGCACAAGTTCTTCATGCTGGCTGCGCAATACCTCGAGCAGGTCTTCGCCATCCATATCTGGCATCGACATATCCGTGATGATCAGGTCGCAGCAGCCGGGTTTGTAAGCATCCACTAGGTCTGACGGGTGGCTGAACAGGGTCGCGGACATGCCAAACCATTCCAGCAGGCCCTGCAGTACTTTCCGGTTAGTAGAATTGTCATCCACGCCAAGCACTCTTTGGCCGTGCAGTCTGGGTAATTCCTGCCAGCTTTCGACCGCTGTCCATGGCGCGCTGATATAGAAGCTGAACGTGGAACCCGCGTCCAGCTTGCTGGAGACGGAAATTTCGCCGCCCATGATTTCAACGAGATTCTTGCAGATGGACAGGCCGAGACCGGTGCCACCGAAGCGTCGTGTTGTGGAAGCATCTGCCTGGGTGAACGGTTCGAACAAAGTATCGATTTTGTGCTGTGGAATGCCAATCCCACTGTCGATAATCGCGAAGTGTATTGTGCTGGCTACATCCTTTTTACCGGTTGTTTTCCGATCGACCTGCGCTTTTATAGTCACTTCACCATGTTCTGTGAATTTTATTGCGTTGGACAGGAGGTTGACTAACACTTGTCTTAAGCGTGACCCGTCGCCTAGGATATAGCCGAGGTCATCAGGTGATATGTCCAGGGTCAGTTCTATGTCTTTCTGAGCTGCCAGGCTAGCGACAACGTCAATAGAGTCCGTAATGCAATGTTCCAGATCGAAGGGCATCACTTCCAGTTCTATCTCGTCAGCCTCTATCTTGGCAAAGTCGAGGATTTCGTTGATGATCACCAGCAGAGATTCGCCGCTGGATCGAATGGTGTCTACATAGCTCGCTTGTTCCTGGTCCATGCGGGTATTCTGCAGTAAAGACGTCATGCCAATAACGCCGTTCATAGGGGTTCGTATCTCGTGACTCATGTTGGCCAGGAACTGAGTTCGCGCTTGTGTTGCCGTCTCTGCTGCCAGTTTGGCTTGTTCCAGCTCCTGTTCCCGCGCTTTGGTCGCGCGCATATCGGTGACGCGAACCAGAATCAGATCTGAATGTTCTTTGAGCCCAACCAATGCAAGGTTGCCCCAGAAAAGATTGCCCTCGGCTGTTCTGAATTCGATCTCTGCTGACCAGACGCTGCGTACCACCTCTCTCAGTTTCGGTCGAGATGCCGCGTCTTTGAAAGCGGTAAAATAGCTTTGTTGAATGCAGTTAACCAGCACAGACCAGTCGTCAGTTTCGAAAAGTCTTTCCGCGCTTTTGTTGGCGCGAAGCACTTTCAGATTTGAAATGTGTCCACATACTAAGCCGTCTGTAGATTGGGCGAACACCGCATCGCTGAGCACGTCACTCTGCTCGCGCGCCAACATGTTCTGTCCTAAAAAATACACCAATGCAGATGTTCCAATGATGATGACAGACACGCAGATGATGAATACGAGTGGCAGCATTTCGGGTTGTTTAACCAGCAACGAGGAGGCTGACAGGCTCGCAATGCTCAGCGCGGACCAGATAACCAAAGGCAGGCGCTTTCTGATGGTGAGACACCCAACAAATACCATGGCAAAACAGGACACTGTGCTGGTGACATCCAGATTTTTTTCGTACAGAAACACACAGAAGACTAAGAGGGCTGCGCTAGCACTGGCGCAAACGACCCAGTCGATATGACGGCGCAGGTGTTCGCTGAAGAACGTCGCTATGTATAATGACGATATGAAGGCGATAGCCAGATACCTTTCCGCCTGTACGGTGTTGTCCTGTTCATCAATAAGGAAACCACCGATGCCTAAGGCCAGTGTGCCAATGCCGATCACGAGTCTATACAGCTGGACTTGATTCATAACAGGTAGAAGTAGTTTTACTGCTTAAGCCTAGTGCAGATCTGCTACTTTGCAGGAAGATTGCCCTTACATGACGGGGCCACCTTGTTCCAGCCATTTTGCGCAATCCGGTGCCAGCACGCGTTGCTTGGTGTCTTCGTATAACGCCAGGTCTTCTTCGGTCAGTACATCCCGCCACCGGCCGTTGGTGCCTTTGAAAAAGAAGCCTTCAGCCCCGCCTTTAAAAAAGATGCCGCGCGGATCGCCCTCTTTATCCATCTTGATAGCGTTGGCTTTGACATTCTTGAAGGTGGTGTTTTCAACCACTTGTGCCAGATGTTCAGGGGCTGGGTTTTCACCCAGGAATTCAGCAAGTCCTTTGACTGAGCTTTCGAGATCATCAAGCATGTCGTTGTAGTGCATGAAGTAGAAGTTCGGTAAGTGACGATATTCCCAATAGCTCTGCGTGTGACCGAGGTTAGCCCAGAAGGGATAGCCTTCTGATTCCCATTCAAACCAGCCTCGAGTCATCCAGTTCTGCCAAAGCTCACGAGGATTTTCAGGGCACGGAGGTAGATCGTCGCCTACCGCATCCGGCGAGTTGTAGATATCCATCGCGATTTTTGTGTAGTTGGAATAGTGATTGAAGAAAGACATGAAAACATCTCGGCAGTCGCGGCCGACAATCACGTATTTCACTTCCGGGTAATAGGGTAAGCCGTCTAACGGCAGGTGACTTTTAATGAACCGCCGTCCTGGAATATTCTCAAGGAACGGCTTTAGATCTTCTTTCGAAATGGGAAGGAAGCGGGCGTCAGGCCAAGGTGTCACCTCCTGGAATCCAGGCATTGGATCGATTGTGCCGTGTAACAACTCATGCAGAATCTGCTGCGTCCACGTGGTGCCTGCTTTGTATGAGGTGGTGACGATAATATCGCTCGGACGAGGTTCGTATGCGTCCCATCTTGTCGAATCCAAATGGTGATTCTGGTAAACGCGGGTAACTTCCGGGAATTGACCTGACATAGGATTGAATCCTTCTTATGAGTTCTGTTTGGTGGACTGAAATGAGTTTTCCTTGCTTGCCTCGAAAGTGCAAGCACAGTCTTCCTGCTCTCAGTCGAATATTATAACCAGGGTCCGGGTAGGCTGCGGAAACCCCTGATAACAATTGCCCTCAGTGTGGTTAGGGTGCGGAGATTGATTTCAAGCGACACTCGCATGGCTAATGGTTCTTCTTTTCGCTATCTGTCGGCATTACATCCGACTTCTTTAAAACACCTCAGTCACCATCTCGCCAGGCTGGTAGAGACGCGCCTTTGGCTGAAAGTGCTTATCGGTATGTTCACAGGACTGCTGTTGGGTCTGCTGCTGGGGCCTACCGTTGGTTGGGTCGATCGTGACACTGGCAATTTGATCGGTAACTGGTTGGCGCTTCCCGGCCAGCTCTTTCTGGCTGTTATCCAGATGATTGTTGTGCCGTTGGTGATCGCGTCTGTTATTCGGGGTCTTGCGGCCAGTGAAAACGTGGATCAACTGCGCAAACTTGGCCTGCGCGCCAGCGCATACTTTGTTGCTACCACGGCGATTGCTGCTTTCTTTGGACTGGGGCTGGCAGCACTGCTGCAACCAGGCCGTCGTTTGGCCGGTAGTTTACAAGCCTCGGTGCCAAATGCCGAAACCGGCGTACAAACGATGGCCATTCCCAACGCCTCAGAGCTACCCACTGCACTGATCGGCCTGTTGCCAGGCAATCCTCTGAATGCCATGGCGCAAGGTGAGATGCTGCAGATCGTGATTTTTGGTGTGATTGTAGGCGTTGCCCTGGTGTCTATGCCGCCCAAACAATCCAAACCCTTGCTGGATTTACTGGAGTCACTGCAGCAGGTCTGCATGGTGGTCGTGCGGTGGGCCATGCTGGTTGCCCCGATTGCTGTCTTTGGTCTAATGGCTCGCCTTACCAGCCAGATTGGCCTGGAAGCGCTGCTCGGGGTGTCATTTTACGTTGTGACCGTGTTACTGGGCTTGCTTGGTGTGGTGGCGATGTATTTGTCGCTTTTACGCGTGTTTGGTGGGGTTAATCCGTTCGCGTTTCTGAAATCAGTGCGGGAATTGCTGTTGCTGGCGTTTTCGACGTCAAGCTCGGCATCCGTGATGCCTTTGTCTATCCGCACCGCTGAAGAGCAGCTCGGTGTGCGCCCCTCGATTGCACAGTTTGTTATTCCCCTCGGGGCAACCATCAATATGAACGGCACCGCGTTGTATCAGGGTGTTGCGGCTATGTTTCTGGCTCAGGTGTATGGGGTAGACATAGGGTTTGGTGGCATGCTCCTGGTTGTTGCTATGGCTGTTGGCGCAGCTGTCGGCTCGCCCGGTACGCCCGGTGTGGGCATTGTCATTCTCGCAACGGTGCTTTCGGCGGTGGGTATACCGCCAGAAGGTGTCGCACTGATTATGGGTGTAGATCGAATACTCGATATGTGCCGAACATCCGTGAATGTGGCCGGTGATGTGGTTGCCGCCAAGCTGATGGACAAATGGTTGGGTGATGACGAAGCAGCGTCTGTGCCTGACGAGACGCCGCCTGCTGAAAGTTGAACAGCCTGACCAATGACTAGTTGCGCCAAAGGGTGCGCTTAGTATTCAGGGTGCTGATCAGCGTAAATTTGATCTCAACTCTCGCCAGGGGTACCGTTCGGGTGGGTTAACAAAACAGGCATACCAATGGCACGGATCACACTGAAACAAAATCATGAACTTGAGCCACATGCGTTGGCGGCGGTGCAGGCCATCGAAGCCAGTGGCGCTGATTCATCCACCATGCGCGGCCTGGCCCACAGCCAGGCGCTGTTTGACAGCTATTTCAAGTTTTATATGCCGGCTCGAGCGGGCACCTCAATTCCAGAAGAGTTAATTGAACTGGTGCGTCTGAAAATTGCCCGTCACAACGATTGTTTTACGTGACTAAACGCACGTCTTCTGCAGGGTGCAGAACATGGTTTGACGGAAGAAAAGATCGCGCAACTTGATGAGCCAACAAATTCTTTCAGCGAAGTTGAACGTTTGGCGCTGGAATATGCTGATCGGATGGCTTTGGATCATCACCACATGGATGATGCTTTTTTTGATCGTATGCGGGAGCAGTTCACCGATGAACAGATCCTCGAGCTCGGCATGATGATTGGGCAATTCATTGGGTTTGGTCGATTACTGATGGTGCTGGATCTGGAATCCAAGTTTTGTCCAGTTGATGGTGGGAGCTAATACAACATATGGTGACACGTAGAACATTTCTGGGGAGCAGTGCTGCGGCCAGCGCGCTGGTTGGTAATCAGGTTGCTGGTGCGGTTGCCGCACCTGACTTAAAAAACAGGTTTCAACATGGGGTAGCCAGCGGAGATCCGTTGGGAGACCGGGTCATTCTCTGGACCAGAGTCAGCGGCGGGGCTGATAAGCCGGTCGCAGTTCGCTGGGTCATCGCCACCGATCAGGCATTACGGAACATTGTTAATCAGGGTGTAGTCACCGCCTTGCCAGAAAGAGACCACACGGTGAAGGTTGATGCGCTCGGGTTAAGTCCGGGACGCACTTATTACTACCGCTTTGATGCAGATGGTCAGGAAAGCCCGACAGGACGGACGAGAACATTGCCGGACAGGACCGTAACCCGTCTACGTTTTGCTGTGGTCAGCTGTTCAAACTATCCGTTTGGCTATTTTAATGCCTATGGTCGTGTGGCTGAACGTGCGGATGTAGATGCGGTGTTGCATCTCGGGGACTATTTTTATGAATATGCGCCCAATGAATATGGCAGCGGTGAAGAATTTGGCCGCGTGCATGAACCAGGTCATGAAGTGGTCACGCTTGCTGATTACCGTGTCCGGCATGCGCAATACAAAACGGACCCTGACTTACAGGAGGCTCATCGTCAGCATCCGTGGATCTGCGTCTGGGATGATCACGAAAGTACCAATAACAGCTGGCGTGATGGTGCACAGAACCATAACCCGGAATCAGGTGAAGGAAATTGGTCAACTCGGCGAGCGGTTGCCATTCGCGCGTATCACGAATGGCTGCCTATCCGTGAACAACCTTCCGCCAACGGCCCGTTTATTTATCGCAGTTTTCGCTTTGGACAGCTGGCTGATCTGATCATGCTGGACACCCGCCTGCATGGACGCAGCCGCCAGCTTGATGATCCGAAAGATACTGCAGGTCTTGCTGATCCCAGTCGCACGATTTTAGGGGCGGATCAGCAGGCCTGGTTAGCGGAGCAGTTACGCGCCTCTAAACGACAGGGAACGACCTGGCGACTGCTCGGCCAGCAGCTCATGTTTGGACAACTTATTGGAGAAGATGGTGTGCTGTTGAACACGGACCAATGGGATGGCTATCCCGCCTCCCGCACAGCAATTCTCGATCAACTGGCCGCTGAATCGATCAATAATATGGTGGTGCTGACGGGCGATATACACACAGCCTGGGCTATGGATATTGCGCCGGATCCTTTGAGTGATGGCTATGATCCAGGCAGCGGAAAGGGTTCACTGGCGGTTGAGTTTGTGACCACGTCGGTCACCTCTCCCGGACCCCAGGGTGATGCCGAAGCATTGGCGGAGCGCGAGCAGGTGATTATGGATACACGTCCACACATCCATTATGTGAATTTGCGTGAACATGGTTATTTGTTGCTGGATATCGATTCAGAACGAACTCGAGGTGAGTTCTGGTTTGTCGACAGCATAGTCGAGCGCGGAGGTGGCGAGCGCCTTGCGGCAGCGTATACCACGCAAGCAGGTGCCAATCACCTGGTCAGAGATTGAGCGCCGGAATTATCCTGCCTGGTCAAAGCCGCGGTCAATGACCGCGTCGACGACTTCTCTGGCAATGTCCAGCACAGACGTTCGCCAGGCGGCGTTGTCGGGATAGAAGGCGTCCATCATCCGCTGCTTGGTTTGTTTGCCCAGGGTGCTGTCAATGTCTCCATAGTGGTGCAGCCACTGGTCCTGTATCAGCGACTGGATAACCTCTAACGTATTGACTGTGCCGTATTCCAGGCCCTGGCCTAACATCTTGCGGTTACTGCGAGCTTGCGCGCCTGAAATCATCGACCCAGACAACGTTACGTCCCAACAGGTGTTTCTGGACCACTTCCTGGATGCGTTGGTTGGACCATTGCGGCTCAATTCGAGCAGTTCAGGGATGATCGAAGCTGAGGTTTCCGCGGACCAGTCTTCTGGTTCTACCACTGACGCAAGTTCCTGGTAGCCCTTCGTCCAGCAATGCACATTGCACAAAAGACCCACAATAACCCTCGATGCCATGGGTACCCGACGATATAACAAGCACATCTTCGCTCTGTGGCGCGTTCCAGCAGGCAACATCCATCGCGATGTCACCATCCGGTCCGCTTTCGGGATGAGGGCAGGTAATGTGCTCAGCATCGCCAATGCGGGTTAAAACGCTTTGCAAGCCGATTGATAGGTGTAATTGTGAGCTGTCCGCATATTCGTCTGGTTTTCTGTGCAGGTGGAGGATAGGATGCGCGCCCCTTTCAGGGTCCTTAATAGTCCCAGAGTACACCCTATGTCTGAGCCCCGCACGCCCGTCACTTTCAAAAGCCTCAACCTGCCACATACCCTGCTGACGGCGTTGGCGTCGGTGGGCTATGAAACACCATCACCGATTCAGATACAGGCCATCCCTCGATTGCTTGACGGACAGGATCTGCTTGGCAACGCGCCGACAGGCACGGGTAAGACAGCGGCCTTTGCACTGCCGTTGATCAGCCGTGTAGACATCACTCGGCCCCAGGTGCAGATTCTGACTTTGACTCCCACACGTGAGCTGGCGCTGCAGGTTGCAGAAGCTTTCCAAACCTATGCGGCAGGTATCAAAGGTTTTCATGTACTGCCGATTTATGGTGGGCAGGATTACGGCCCACAATTGCAGCGGTTGAAGCGCGGCGTGCACGCGGTTGTGGGGACGCCTGGGCGGATCAGAGACCATCTGCAAAGGGGAACATTGAAACTCGATTCTCTGCAGGCTGTTGTGCTCGATGAGGCCGACGAAATGTTGCGCATGGGATTCATCGATGAAGTTGAATGGATCCTGCAGCAAACGCCAAAGACACGCCAGATGGCCCTGTTTTCTGCGACGATGCCCAAAGCCGTACAATCCATTGCCCGCCGTTACATGCGGGATCCTTACGAAATCTCCATTCAGGCGAAGACCGCCACCGCGGAAACTATTCGTCAGAGGTTCTGGTTGGTGGGTGGCTTGAAAAAGCTGGATGCATTAACCCGCATTCTCGAAGTGGAGCCGATAGATGGTGTATTGATTTTTGTCCGTACCAAAACAGCCACATCCGAATTGGCTGATCGGTTGGAAGCGCGCGGATATTCCGCCGCAGCTATGAATGGTGATATGCCCCAGCGGCAGCGTGAACAAACCGTTGATCGTTTGAAAAGCGGGGCCCTGGATATTCTTATCGCCACGGATGTGGCCGCGCGAGGCCTGGATGTTGATCGCATCAGTCATGTGATCAACTACGACATTCCATACGATACCGAAGCTTATATTCACCGCATCGGGCGCACCGGAAGGGCTGGCAGGGCTGGCGAAGCGATTCTGTTTGTCGCGCCGCGAGAAAGGCGCATGTTGAATACCATTGAGCGCGCCACACGGCAGAAAATTGAACCGTTGAAGCTGCCTACTACAGAGACGGTGAATAACAAGCGGGTTGCTGATTTTAAACAGAAGATCACCGACACGCTGGCGGCGGGTGAGTTGTCTTTCATGCAGAACCTGGTTGAACAATACCAGCAGGAACATGACGTTCCAGCGTTGGAAATTGCTTCTGCGCTGGCACAACTGGCGATAGGCGATGTGCCTCTGTTGCTCAGCCATGATAAAGCAGGTGCGTTCCGTTCGTCCGATGCGCGTTCCGAGCGTGCACCTGGTCCCGAGGCTCGACCGCGTAAAGAACGGCGCAGCCGGTTGGATTTTGATTTTGAAACGTTTCGCGTCGAAGTGGGTAATGAGCATGGTGCAAAACCAGGCAATATTGTTGGCGCATTGGCCAATGAAGCAGGCATAGGCTCGGATGCGATTGGCCGGGTGATTATTCAGGACAGTTACAGCACGGTTGAGTTGCCTGAGGGGATGCCTGATGAACTCTATCGTGATCTGCAGAAGGTCTGGGTCTGCGGCCAGATGCTGAAGATCAGCCGGGTTGATGACCCCTCGTCATTACCAGTGGGAGATGCCACCCGGCCGGTGCAGAAACGTAAACGTGTGCCTTCGTCAGGTACACACCAGCAGCAGAAAACTGCTGATGCGAAAAACCTAAAAATTGGCAAACGAAAAAATAAAAAAGACAAGGCAGGCAAAAAAGACAAACGGCGTGGGAGCAAGCATGCGAAGTAAACTCTTCGCGCGTTGGACAGGTGCTTGTCAGACTTGAATAGCACAATGTCCGCTGTCATTGTGCTGATATGAATCAAGCGTCTCCCGAAAATCAACCCATCGGTAACTGGTATCTCTTTATTGGTGATGGCATTTGTCTGAAAGTCTCTTCCGACCTGGTTCTGGGTGAAGATGAAAAAGGCCTGGTTGTCCTTAACCCTAAGCAGGGAAGTTACGGTCTGCTGAAAATACGCAAAGATGATGCCGGGCGCTTGCTGTTAAAAAATATCAGCAGGCACCACGTACTCGATTGGCAGAAAGGTACCGCAACCATGGTGGGTGGAGAGTTTGCCCTGGTAGCCGGTTCAAAGATTGTGCTGCCAAACAATGAGCTCTATCTGAATCACGAAATGCAACGTGGCCAGGTCAGTGCACACATTATTGTTCAGGAAAGTGAGCCTGTGGTTGAGCAGGTTGAGGTGCTGGTAGAAGTTATCCCGGAAGCACTTGCTGACCCGGTGGTTGGCCCGAAACGAACTGAACCCGAGCCCGCGGTTGAGCCTGTTGTCACCGAAAAACTACTTGATCAGGAAATATTTGCCGAGCCTCTGGTGCAGCAGGCGCCAGCTGTCGAAGCAGTTGCTTCTTCGGGTTACAACCGGATTGTCCCCATCGCTGTAGCCGCGAGTCTCTGCCTGGTTATCGCCGTGCTGGTCGGGACCTGGTCTTCCAAGCCGAGTTCAGAACCCCCCGCCATAGTCGAATCGCCCCAGCCTTTAACCTCTCTGGCTGAGCCTGCTGAGATTACTTCTGTCGAGACTCCAATCGCGCAGAGCACGGTGCCAGAGTATACGCTGCCGGAAATGACGGTCGCTGAACTCGCCACGATTGAGCGAGAGCCAGAACCAGTCGTAGAACCGGAAGCCGCTGCAGAACGAGAAGCAGTTGCAGAAGCAGACCTTGTTGAGTTGGGTGCTGTTGATCCTGCTGTTGCGGCAGGTCTGGCGCGCGCGCGTGCGTATCTGGAGCAGGGTTTTATCACCCAACCCAAAGAAGGTAACGCGGTCATGGAGTTGTCTATTATCCTCTGGCAGGACCCCAGTAATCAGGCAGCTTTCGATCTTATGGGGGAGGCGACAACACGGTTAATTGATGCCGCGGTTGAAGCGCACGCCGCGGGGTTTGAGTACGAAGCGCGCAATCTGATTGGAGAGGTGCTGGGGTTCAACCCGCAGCACCCTCAGGCCAATGCCTATAAACGCCAGTGGTCCGACTAGCCGCCACCCCCTGCTGCGCCCTCGGGGCCACTGTCGTATTCGCTTTCCAGTAACCTGGCACCGCGCAGAATGTTGCCCATCGCATAGTTGCCCTCATGGCAGGCGTATTCGTACAGTTTGCTGTCAGGTTTGGATTGCCAGACGTAACGACCACTCCAGGGCGCAGTCCAGGCGGTTTCGTCTTTCACAGTAAAATCGTAGTACAGGTTGCCGTCTTCCATGCGGCTGAACCGCTCAACAACATGTAGCGCTTCGTCGGCGCCGGGCAAACCATTCAGGGCTCTGAAATTTTTTGTTTCCACCACCAGCACGTCGTCATCCCAGTAGCCAATCGAGTCGCCTTGCCAGGAACGATTTTCTTCAGGTGAATGCTCAGCATCAATGCGCACAACCTGAGCGTGATGCACCATCTCGTGCAGAATCATCACATGGGTTTCAGTCTGGATGATACGTTTGTAGTTGTTATACAGACTTGGCAGGGTAGGTATCGTTGATGCAAAAGAAATCAGACACCGCTCAGACGGTGCCAGGCTTTCCGGGCCATCGAAGGGGCCGGGGCCATCGTAGTCCAGCCAGGTGGCCTGACCTGTGTTTTCATGCAGGAAACTCTGATAACGCTCGCCAACACGTTCGTTCAATCCCTCTACTACAGGTGGATAACGACCGTTCGGCGGGTCATAGATGATGGAAGTAGGCACATTGCCATTGATGGTGCCCAGCGAACTGCCAGGATCCACCCAGAAAGCGTTATAGCCACCAACGCCGCCAGCGCCAGCCATATTGTTACCGTCACCACCTTCGGGTGGTGCTTCACGGTCCGGGTCACTTTCTTTATTGATAGCCCAATCTGAAACCACGCTGAACACCCAGTTCAGCGAGTTGGCCACCCAGGGGTACAGGTACTCAATTTCACCTAACCATTCCGGGCGCTCGGTTGGGGTAAGAATGCCGGTGTCATAGGTACCTGACAGATCAGGTTTGCCGGATGGCGTGCGTTCGATCTCTGCCTGAGCGGCAGTGCCGACAAGCATTGCGATAGTAATCAGCGGTATTTTAAATCTGGTCAGCAGTAACATTGGCTTCCCCTTCAGCCCGTTTTCGATTGAGTGTAGAGAATTGCTGACAGGCTGGCCAGAGCCCGACCTATATCCATCGCCTGGCAGCAGACGAGGCGTCGTAGAACTGATGATTTAGAAGATAACGACAGACAAGGGAAGGTGTGGCCAGCACTGTTGCTGGCCACTTTTGCAGGGTGTCTTCAGAGACCTACAGCTGAGCGTTTAAACCCAGGAAGAAGTATCGTCCGCGTGGACCGGTAGGATAAGCACGTTCTGTTTTGAACGGTCTTTCGTCCAATACATTATCGACGCCACCGTATACCGTGATGGTATCGGTAATGTTCCAGGCGCCCGTCAGAATGTGAATGTAGGTGTCATCACTGAAGCCACTTGGGCCAAAGTTCTGCTTCACGGTTTCCACTTCTGCGCCGTCCTCATAAGCCAGCACCTGTTCAGAAAGGTACTGAGTCTGCCATCCAACTGTGAGGGGGCCATACATCATTGATAGTTTGGCCAGGCCTGACCATTCAGGGCGTCTGCTTTCCCCTAGTTCGTCATCAACAGTTGCCGCGCCACCGTCGCTGGCAGGTTCGATAAAGTCGAGCTTGGTCTGTTTGGTCACACCCGTCGAAAAGTCGAAATTGAATTCACCGATATTGAAACCGTACGCTAACGAGAAATCAAAGCCGGCGGCTTCAGCAGCACCGAAGTTGAGCTTCGCCTGGCGCAGGAAGGTCAGGCCGCCTGATTGTGCTGAGGTTGGAGACGCGTTGCGCTCGATTAATCCGCAGAAGGTATTGTTCAAACTGGCTGAGTCGTAACAGCTGTTGACGATGTTCTGTGCGGAAATATTGGCAATCGCGCTTTCAATTTCAATGTCCCAGTAGTCAACGGTGAAAACCAGGTTTTCGATGAACGTCGGGGTGAACACAAGACCAAAGGTTTTGGTTGTTGCTTCTTCCGGCTCTAAATCAGGGTTGCCACCAACGGAGCCTGGAAATCCTGCTGAGAGAGGGTCTTCAAAAGCGTAGCTGCCATCGGGTGCAAAAATGTTTGCATCAACAACGCCGACTGCCTGCAAGCCAGCAACACAGTTTGCTTCTCGGTTTGCGGGATCCGATGACAACCCAATCAAAGTGGCGTCACATGGATCGGCAGGTCGGAAAAAGGCGCCCTGATCCGGCGAAAATAATTCGAAGATGTTGGGTACACGAACCGCGCGGCTGTAAGAGCCACGGAAGCGAACGTCATCAACGGGTGCATAGACACCACCATACTTGTACGTCGTATTCGATCCGAAGGTTGAATAGTCTGATCGGCGCCATGCGGCATCTACGCTCAGTTCCCGTGCAAACGGTTGGTCAGCCAATAAAGGTACGTTCACCTCGACAAATACATCCCAGACATCGTATTCAGCAGATCCGCTCAGAAGGGTGATAGAAGGGTCTTCACCCAGGCTGCCTGCGTTGCTGATATCACCAACGAAGTCGCCTGCAGAGAAGGGGGTGCCGTCGGAGGTCACGCCATCAACGGAGACGATGCCACGATCGTAGCGGCCGTAAGATTGAGCGCTTTTTTCTTCTCTCCATTCACCACCAATCGCATAGCTGATGCCGCCCGCAGGCAGGCTGAACCATTGTTCGGTATTGCCACTGACAAAGCCGCTGAATACCAATTGCTCTATTTCATCACTTACTTCGCGCTCGTAGGTCATGAAGTCGAGTGCTTCCTGGCTGATCGCACCGCGACCACCCCAGATGTTTGCTGGTTGGCACTGGCCATCACCCGGTGTGAAGGTGAAGAAGGAAGAGTTTACACCGCCGCCAACAAATGAAAATATGTCGAAGGGTGTTGTGCGCGGATAGGCTGTTGCGTCAAGGTCGGAGCGGCATACTGCTTCACCTGTTGCAGGATCCGTTACCACGTCAATCGCGGCAAAGAATCGATCTGCAATCATATCTTCGCGGTCTGTCAGTTCGCGTGTGAACTTGCCGTAGTTGGCTGATACCTCATAGCTCAAACCCAGATCGTCAAAGTCGCCCCGCAGGCCAGCAACAAAGCGGTAGGTTTCCCGTTCGTTTGTGCTGACGTTGGGTCCCCAGTCATCCGAATCGCGAGAAACATAAAGACCACCGGGACCGATGAAGCCAATGCCGTCATTGTTTGCCAGGTCGGCCAGTGCTTCAGGTAAGAACGGGTTATCCGGTGCGCCGTAGAGCAGGTCAGTGAAGTTGTGACCCGTGCCGCCAAAGTCGATCTCCTGATAAACGTATTTGGATTCGAAGAAAGCCTCCATTTCCGGGGCAAACTCATAACGTCCATTGATGTTGATAGACCACTTTTTCTCGTCTGGAGTTACGAAGGGGCGGTCTGGCGCGATGAAGCTCTGTTCGGCACCAAACTGATTAAAATTGTCTGATACCAGGCCGTCGCGATAGGGTTGAGGGTTACCATTTTCGTCAATGGCCCAGCAACCTCCGGCGGCTCCAAACGATCCTGCACCCGCTAAACTGGAGTTGTAACCGGTAAAGCTGTCGAGGCAGTCTGAAACGCCATTCCCATCCAGGTCTGGTTCAGATCCCAGCGGCGTTGCGCCAACGCCAAAGTCACCTAAAGCAACGATGCCATAAGGGCTGGTGATGTTGAATGTGCGTCCGGGTAAGAACACCTGAGGAAAGGCGTTAGATGCACGAGAGATCAATGCTTGCTCTGCCGCGGTCAATGTTGGTGCGGTACCGAACTGAGCCGTGTAGTCAGCGACAAAAGTATCCGCATCGGGGATCTGCAGGCCCACAGGGAAAAGACCTGTGTTGTCATAGTTGTAGTACTGGCTGAAATTAGGCGTGTTTCCGGCGGTAATGTCGCCGTTCTGGAATCTCAGTTCAGGGTTTGTATCGTTGTCATATAAGCCACTGCCGCTGAGATAAGAGCGATCGCCTTGGCGGATGCCTGTCCGGGTTTCATACTGGGCTGCAAATACAATGTTGCCGCGGCCATCATTGAAGTTTCTACCAAAGAGGCCGCTGAAAGCGTTAGATTCGGAGTCGCTTTCACTGCTGAGCCCGGTTTGTACGTTGAACTCCATGCCTTCGTAGTCATCCTTTAACACGAAGTTCACCACGCCGGTTACAGCATCCGCGCCGTAAATGGCTGAAGCGCCCCCGGTAAGGACTTCAACTCTTTCGATCAGAGCTGAAGGAATCGTGCCGATGTCCACCGCTGATGTACCTTCAACACCAGAAACGTGTCTTCGACCGTTAACCAGTGTCAGCGTGCGCTCAATACCCAATCCGCGGAGATCCAGCGCAGCGCCGCCAACGTTGTCGGACTCTGTGATATTGGTAGCTGCTGCGTCTATTGAATTTGTGCTGGTAACAGATGACAACAGCGCCGGTTGATCATTCAGGATCTCACCTATATCCGTTTGACCGACCTGGGTTAGATCTTCTGCGCTTATCAGCGACAGCGGTTGTGATGCAGTTTCATTGGAACGCGCGATCCTTGATCCTGTGACCACCACTTCCTCAATAATACTGTCCTCTTCTGCCAGAGCGACGCGGGGTAGAGTGGTTGCAGCGGCGGCAATAATAAATGCATACAGTCCCCCACCTACTATTCTCCCCGTGTCTCCCAATACCTTCTTAAACATAGTCCATACCTTTTGTTATGTGTATTCCTCGCAGCTTTGCAAGCTGGTGTGACCATTCCTGTTGCGCGTCGGTTCTCCTGACTGACTTAAGTGACATTTATGTCGGTAGCAACACGGCACGGAGTTTGTAGAGCAAAAGTTGTGCCAGATTGGATAGGCTGGATATATCTGCTTCTTGCCAGTGTTGATATGAAAATGCACCTAACAAGCAGATAAATGCGCGGATTCTCCTGCCCGTTTCGGAATCCTGCCGATTTATTTAGTGCGGTTGATACAGAAACGCACTAAGACGTTACATAGCCAACAGAGAAAAACGCGCCAAATCCGGGGCATTGCTTTTTTCTGGTGCTAAAAAAGATTCATCGCGGTGCGTTTTCCAATTTTGGGTCTCATTGTCGATGGGAATGCTGCATTTTGAGGCGTAAAAAGTTGGCCCATCTATTGCTTGTTATCCACCAGGCTAAGGCGCTAACAAAGCGTGTCTTTCGGTTGAAAAAATTTTTGATTTAGTGGGTAAAAACAGATTATGAAAACGGTTAAAAAGCAGGCAACCAATAAGAAGGCAGCAAAGGTGTGGGTATGCGCGATATCGGTGCTTTTACTTTTGCAAAGCCCTGTACCAGTGCAAGCCGAAGAATCTGTAGAGCCTATAAAGGTGGGTGTACTTCATTCTCTCTCCGGCACCATGGCGATCAGCGAAACCACTTTGAAAGACACAGTGCTTATGTTGGTCGAACAGCAGAATGCACGTGGTGGCCTGCTGGGTCGTCCACTGGAAGCGATCGTTGTAGATCCCGCTTCAGATTGGCCTCGATTTGCAGAGCAATCAAGACTGCTGCTGGAACGTGAGAAGGTGGACGTTGTCTTCGGCTGTTGGACTTCTGTATCGCGGAAATCGGTGTTACCGGTTTTTGAAGAACTGAATGGGCTGCTGTTTTACCCGGTACAGTATGAAGGGGAAGAATCGTCTAAAAACGTTTTCTATACAGGCGCTGCTCCCAATCAGCAGGCGATACCGGCTGTAGACTACCTGATGGCGCAAGGCGTGAAGCGTTGGGTACTTGCAGGTACTGATTATGTTTATCCGCGCACAACCAACAAAATTCTGGAGGCCTATCTTAAAAATAATGGTGTTGCTGAAACAGATATCCGGGTGAGCTATACGCCTTTTGGTCATTCTGACTGGCAAACTATTGTTTCTGACATTAAGAGTTTCGGCTCGACCGGGCGCAAAACCGCTGTGGTCTCCACCATTAATGGCGATGCGAATGTGCCTTTCTATAAAGAACTTTCAAATCAGGGCGTGACCGCGTCTGATATTCCCGTCATCGCTTTTTCGGTAGGTGAAGAGGAATTGTCAGGTATTGATACCTCACCACTGGTTGGACACCTCGCTGCCTGGAACTATTTTATGAGTGTTGAAGCAGATGCAAATTTCGATTTCATCGATGAGTGGTTGGAATTTGTTGAAGATGAAGAGCGTGTAACAAACGATCCTATGGAGGCGCACTACATAGGGTTTAACATGTGGGCGCAGGCCGTCACAAAGGCGGGCAGCACCGATACTGATGCGGTAGGTGAAGCTATTGTAGGTGTAACAGTGCCAAATCTCAGTGGTGGTTACGCCACGATGATGCCCAACCATCACATCACGAAACCTGTTTTCATCGGCGAAATTCAGAACGATGGCCAATTTCAGGTGGTGTGGCAGACACCCGGGTCAGTAGTGGGCGATGCGTGGTCTGACTATCTACCCGGATCGAAAGATCTCATTTCCGATTGGCGTGCCCCTCTGTCATGCGGAAACTTTAATACTGCTACCGGACAATGCGCCGGAAAGTGAGATGTGAGCGTATTGAAAAATACAGCCTGAAAGTCGCCCTGTGTTTGTTCCTGTTGGGGTATGGAAGCCAGATTGTTGCTCAGGTAGTTGCCGATCCGTTGAGTCAAACCGCGGTAGCGGCAGTCGCAGCCCTTGCGGATGCAGATGACCAGAAGCGCATAGACGCAATTCGAATTCTGGTCAGTGCCGAACAGCGCCAGGCTGATCTGGTGCTGGCAGCGCTGGAGGAAGGCAACCTTTATCGTCGGCGGGCAGATGATCGAGTTGTGATTGCCACCAGGGATGGCCGCCAATTCAATCTGGTTGCTGCGGCCACCGGCGAAGTGCTGCCACCTGAAACCAGGCGTGGCGTGCGGCGTATAGCTATCAATAATGCTTTGCGTGCCGAACTGCGTGCGCTGCGTGCATCTGCTCGACTCACTGCACCTGAGGCAGCGGTCAGGTTAGCGGCAGTGCAGGAAATGATAACAAACCCCACTCCTGGGATACGTGACAATCTGGTGCAGAGGCTTGCAGCAGAGTCTGATGTGCGTGTTCGCTCTGCATTGGCAACTGCGGTGGCCATTGCCGACTTGCAGCGGGATGATCTGCAAACTCAAATCGCGGCAGTGACAGAACTGGCTGGCATTGTCGAACCTGAAGCGCGACGCGTCCTGCAGGATATTGTCGACGATGACGCTACCCCGGCGGATCTCAGACAGCAGGCTGAAAAATCTATTGCGGCCACCGACAATAAACTGAAGCTCTTTTCCGGGGTGGAAATTCTTTTTTTTGGCTTGAGCCTCGGCTCGGTTCTAGTACTTGCAGCCATTGGCCTGGCGATCACGTTTGGGGTTATGGGCGTGATCAACATGGCCCACGGCGAGTTGATTATGCTGGGTGCATATACGACTTATGCAATGCAGGTGTTGATGCCTGATGCAATCGGCTTTTCCCTGTTGCTCGCTATTCCGGTTGCATTCTGTTTAACCGCTCTTGTAGGTATTGCGATAGAACGAGGCGTGATTCGGTTCATGTATGGGCGCCCACTCGAAACGCTGCTTGCGACTTTTGGCATCAGTCTTATTCTGCAGCAGACCGTTCGCTCAATATTCTCGCCCCTTAATCGAACTGTGGTCACACCAGACTGGATGTCGGGTTCGCTGGAAATTACCGCAGGCTTGTCCCTCACGTACAGTCGACTCTATATCCTGCTGTTTTCAATGTTGGTTTTTGCAGGCCTATTACTGCTTCTTAATCGGTCGCGGCTGGGGCTGGAAATACGTGCAGTGGCGCAGAATCGCAAAATGGCGAAAGCCATCGGTGTACGCGGTGATTGGGTTGATGCGATGACATTTGGGCTTGGCTCAGGGATAGCGGGTGTTGCTGGCGTTGCACTTTCGCAACTCACTAATGTCGGCCCTAACATGGGGCAAGCCTATATCATTGATTCTTTTCTAGTGGTTGTTTTCGGTGGTGTCGGGAACCTCTGGGGCACTGCGGTGGCAGGATTGTCACTGGGTGTGCTGAACAAAGTACTGGAACCAACCATGGGTGCAGTTCTAGCTAAAGTGCTTGTGCTGGTACTGGTGATATTGTTTATTCAGCGGCGTCCGCGAGGACTTTTTCCTCCCAAAGGCAGAGTGTTGGATCATTGATGCGCGCGCAGTCCTTATTTGCCACAGAACGCGCCGCCGCAATTCTGCTCTCCCTGCTGGGTCTGGTTGTCGTTCTTACACCCATTTTTGCCTTGATTCCCGAGGAAGGGTCGAGCTTTCATTTGTCTGCCTACAGCGTGACGCTGATCGGAAAATTCCTGTGTTTTGCCCTGCTTGCTTTGTCCCTGGATCTGGTTTGGGGTTATTGCGGCATCCTCAGTCTGGGTCATGGCGCATTTTTTGCGCTGGGCGGTTACGCCATGGGCATGCACTTAATGCGGGAAATTGGTGACCGTGGTGTGTACGGCAATCCTGAGCTGCCAGATTTTATGATATTCCTGGATTGGCAGGCGTTGCCCTGGTTCTGGTATGGGTTTGACAGTCTGGTGTTTGCCCTACTTATGGTTGTGTTTGTACCAGGTATGCTGGCTTTTATATTTGGCTGGCTGGCGTTTCGCTCCCGGGTTACCGGCGTGTATCTTTCGATTATCACGCAAGCGCTGACGTTTGCGTTGATGCTGGCTTTTTTCCGCAACGAAATGGGTTTTGGTGGCAACAATGGCTTGACCGATTTCAAGGATATAGCCGGGTTTGATCTGCAGGATAACAATGTTCGAGTCGTCTTTACGCTGATGTCAGCGCTCGCGCTTGCGGTGGGTTATCTGCTGTGTCGCTGGATTGTCAGTTCGAAGTTGGGCGCCGTTGTTATTGCTATCAGGGATGCTGAAGATCGCACGCGTTTTCTGGGCTATAAAGTAGAGCGCTTCAAACTTTGGATTTTTACCTTCTCCGCAATCATGGCGGGTATAGCTGGCGCGCTTTACGTACCCCAGGTAGGCATCATCAATCCCGGTGAGTTTGCGCCAATCAACTCAATTGAATATGCCATCTGGGTAGCTGTGGGTGGCCGGGGTACGCTACACGGGGCAATTCTCGGCGCAATATCGGTCAACTATGCCAAGACAGTGTTTACTGCCGCGCTGCCTGAACTCTGGCTGTTTGCGCTTGGTGCTCTGTTTGTCCTCACCACCTTGTTTCTGCCCAAAGGCCTGGTGGGATTATTTGAGCGTTGGAGATCCAGGTCGTGAGCCTGGCTTTGCGTAGTAAGGCCAATGTCCCAGGACCAGACCTGAAACATGGCGTAATCCTTTATCTGGAAGACGTCAGTGTAGCCTTTGACGGTTTCAAGGCTCTTGACCGTCTGAGCTTAACCATTGATGCGGGTGAGTTGCGTTGCCTGATCGGCCCTAACGGTGCAGGTAAAACAACACTCATGGATGTGATTACTGGAAAAACCCGACCTGATTCAGGTAGCGCGTTTTATGGCCAGCGTCTGGATCTTACAAAGATGTCCGAGGCAGACATAGCGCGCGCTGGTATCGGGCGTAAGTTTCAGAAGCCGACGATATTTGAACAGATGAGCGTGATAGACAATCTGCGTCTTGCCTTGCGTGACGAGCTCGATGTGTGGGCGACGTTGTTTACACGATTCAAGGACCATGAAACAGAACGCTTATATGCGCTGTTGGAAACGGTAGGTTTAAAGCCAGATGCACATGTCATTGCCGGCGGGCTTTCGCATGGGCAGAAGCAATGGCTGGAAATAGGTATGTTGCTGGCTCAGGAGCCGCAGCTGTTGCTGGTGGATGAGCCTGTTGCCGGTATGACAGAGCAGGAGACTGCCAGGACGGCGCAACTGCTTACAGACCTTGCCGGCGATCGCTCAGTTGTTGTGGTTGAGCATGACATGGCGTTTGTCCGATCGATAGCGAAGAACGTCACGGTACTGCATGAAGGGTCTGTTCTCGCCCAAGGCACCATGCAGGAAATGCAGATACACCCTGAAGTCACCAGAGTTTATCTGGGGTCCTGATGATAGAGATTGCAGGCCTCAATCAGTTCTATCACGAAAGCCATACGCTTCGCGATGTCACGCTTTCCATACCATCAGGGTTGATTACTTGTTTGATGGGCCGAAATGGTGTCGGAAAAACGACATTGTTAGACTGTATTATGGGTTTGCTGCCTGTCCTTTCGGGTGCGATCAATTACAACGGCGTCGCCCTGGAAGGTTGTAATGCGGAGTATCGCCCCCGTCATGGAATTGGTTATGTACCCCAGGGCCGCATGATTTTTCCACAGCTCACCGTTGCTGAAAACCTGGCGATCGGATTGCCAGCCAGCCAACCGCGGCAGCGCAGAGTACCGGATTCGATTTATGAACTGTTCCCTGTGTTGCGCACTATGGCTGGTCGGCGTGGAGGAGATTTGTCCGGTGGTCAGCAGCAGCAGCTGGCGATTGGCCGCGCTCTGGTCCTGAACCCTAAGGTGCTTATTCTCGATGAGCCCTGTGAAGGTATCCAGCCGAATGTTGTGGATCAGATTGGAGAGGTTATTCTGTACCTGAACAAAACTATGAATCTGACAGTCCTGCTGGTGGAGCAGAAATTGCCCTTTGCCCGGCGCGTAGCAGATAATTTTGCGATTATGGATCGTGGTGCGATTGCCGCAAATGGGTCCATGGATGATCTCAATGAAGATCTCATTGACGAATATCTGCGGATTTAGGCGTATGAATAGAAGTACGCCGGAGGTTCCTGGGCATAGCGGTTGGCTAAAACTCTGTTGCCGTCAGCACGTTTAATTATTGAAAAAAAGCCCACCAAAATAGCAACCGATGCTCTACGCTCTAGGTTTTAGGAGAAATGCTTGAGCGATCTCGGACAGGCGACTGAAAGGGTATGCGTCTTTGTCGACGTGCAAAATGTCTATTACACCTGCCGCGAGGTTTTTCAGCGCAACTTCGATTACAACGCGTTCTGGGCGAGGATCAGTGAAGGCTGTGAACTCACAGGTGCAATCGCTTATGCCACCGATCGTGGTGATGCAAAGCAGATGCAGTTTCAGCATATCCTGCACAGCATTGGATTCACCGTGAAGCTGCGGCCGGTGTTGAAACGCTTAGACGGAACAACAAAAGCGGATTGGGATGTGGGTATCACCCTGGATGTTTACGAACAAGCCAGTGCATGCGACAAAGTGGTGCTGGTTTCCGGCGACGGCGACTTTGATGTATTGCTCGAGAGAATACGTAGCCGGTTTGGCACGACGTCCGAGGTTTATGGCGTGCCTGCACTGACGTCTAAATTGCTGATTGATGCCGCTGACAAATTTATCCCGATAGACGAGTCGCTGTTGTTGAAGTAATCGAACGGTATACTGGCGGCAAATTCGTATCTGGAGTATTCACTTGATCACCATTCACGGTTCGTCAGTTTCCCCCTTCGTTCGTAAAACCCTGGTCTGCCTGATTGAAAAAGGCATAGCTTACGACCTGGATCCAATCAGTCCCTTTCCGCCGCCCGCTGATTTTCTGAAAATTTCTCCGTTGGGTAAAATCCCCGCCATGACCGACGGTGACCTGGCTATCCCGGATTCGTCAGCCATCTGTGGTTATATCGAGAAAAAGCACCCGGAAAATCCGCTGTATCCCAGCGACCCTGCTGATTATGGTCGCGCGCTGTGGTTCGAAGATTGGGCTGACAACGAACTGCCCAAAGCAACCGCTTCGCTGTTTTTCAATCGTATTGCAGTGAAAATGATGAAGCGGGAACCGGACGAAGCGGTCATTCAGAAAATACTGGATGATGTGCAGCCGCCAATATTCGACTACCTGGAGGCGCAGATAGGCGATAAAACCTACCTGGTTGGGGATAGGTTCAGTATCGCGGATATCGCGGTGACCTGTCAGTTTATTCAGATGTTGTATGCCGGTGAGCAACTGCCTGGCAAAAAGTATCCGAATATCACTCGGTACGTGACGGAACTTATGCATCGCAGTTCTTTCAAAGATCTGGTGAACAGCGATCCATTTATCAAAATCTAGGTAGTCATGTCGAAACCTTTAGCCTTTCTTGTCCTGTTCTTTGGCAGCGCCTTTACACCTTACGCCCTGGCGGATACAGCCATTCTGGCAGGCGGGTGTTTCTGGTGTATGGAAAAAGACTTTGAAGAACTGGAAGGCGTCACAGATGTCATATCCGGATTTACTGGCGGGACGGCAAAAAACCCAACTTATCGGGGCGACCATACAGGGCACTATGAAGCTGTTGAGATCACATACGATGCAGATGTGCTGAGTTATGAAGATATCCTCAAGCACTTCTGGATTAACATTGATCCATTTGATGCCGCAGGGCAGTTCTGCGACAAAGGCCCGAGCTATCTGAGCGCCATTTTTGTCGCCAATGAAGAAGAACGAGACCTGGCTGAAAAGTCCAAACAAGCGGTTGTCGCTCGCTTTCCCGATCAGACGGTTGTCACACCGATACTACCTGCAGCCACGTTCTACCCAATTAAAGGCGCTGAAATTGGGCATCAGGATTTCTATAAGAAAAATCCGGTCCGCTATGCCGCTTATCGATGGGGTTGTGGTCGAGATCAGCGGCTTGAGCAGATCTGGGGACCGAAGTAAAAGCAGCTTCAAATTCGTGGGGCTGCTTAAAGCGTTTTATTGCCTGAAAAAACGACTCGGCTTCGGGGTAGTGCATCTGCAGGTAAAACAGCCACTGCTTTAAACGATTGCCCAGGAAACGTCTGGGATAGGCGTCTTTAGTAGCCAGGTAGAATCTTTCCAGTAGCACCAGCACATCAGCCCACTGCAGGGCCTGATAATCTTCTCTCGCTGCATGGGCTTTTATCTGCAGCGCCAGATCCGGACACGCAATCAGGCCGCGTCCCATCATAAAGTCGTTGCACTGGCTTTCTTCTCTGCAACGTGCCCAGTCCTCCACAGTCCAGATTTCGCCGTTGGCGATCACCGGGATGCTGATCTGCTCGACAATGCGGGCAATGTAAGACCAGTAGGCAGGTGGGTTATAGCCGTCCGCACGTGATCGGGCATGGACACACAATTCATCTGCGCCTGCGGCGGCGATGGCCAGTGCGTTGTCGAGATACAGACTCCGGTCTTCGAAGCCCAGACGGATTTTGGCGGTCACAGGTACGTCGACAGGTACCGCGCTGCGTACCGCTGCAACAATCCGCTTGACCAGGTCGGGTTGTTTGAGCAGAACCGAACCGCCTTTGCTGTTGTTTACCGTTTTTGCGGGGCAGCCGAAATTAAGATCTATGGCGCTGGCACCGAGATTTGCCGCAGTTTGTGCAGTTTTCGCCAGTGTTTCCGGGTTGCTGCCCAGCAATTGTATGCGCAGCGGGACGCCGCCTGACGTCAGACACCGTTGCCCGATAGCCGGGTCTGCAAACTCCAGCTCAGGACATTCGCGCAACAGTGTTTTTGCCGGCGTGGGCAAGTTGTTGACTCTGATAAATTCGCTAACACAGATGTCCACGCCACCAATCCCGCTATAAAGGGAGCGAAAGTGGTGGTCGATAACACCTTCCATGGGGGCTAGAAAAAGTCGCATATGGACATCATGGTAAACACTATCCACCCCAGTCACCATCCTCAGTCGCAGCTCCTTGCTGGACGGCCTGATGCATCAGTGAAGTTGTTGGGTCGCGGGGATTCGGGCAGTATGTCAGTCGGGCTGTTTTTGCCGATGGTCAATAGTAAATCTGGGAATGGGTAGGGGATACGTCGATGAGCAAGTTTTTGTTGATGGTGAATGGTGAACAAGTTGAGGTTGAGGCTCAGCCTGACATGCCTTTGCTTTGGGTTTTGCGTGACAAACTGAAGCTCACCGGCAGCAAATTCGGTTGTGGCATAGCCCAGTGTGGCGCGTGTACTGTCCACGTGAATGGTGCGCCCGTGCGTTCCTGTGTACTGCCTGTCGCAGCGGTGTCCGGTCCCGTCACAACCATTGAGGGCCTGGCCCAGGGTGGTAGCCTGCATCCGTTACAGAGCGCTTGGATACAGCATGATGTTGCCCAGTGTGGTTACTGTCAGGCGGGTCAGATCATGAGTGCAGCGGCACTGCTGGCGAACAATAAAAAACCGAACGATACCGACATAGATGAAGCGATGGCGGGTAACTACTGTCGTTGTGGTACTTACATCAGAGTCCGCCAGGCTATTCACACTGCTGCTGCCTATTACGACGCAGATACCTCGTCCAGCAAAGTGACAGGAGCTGGCCAATGAGTATCACGCGCATAAACCGACGCAACCTTTTCAAAGTCTCCGCCTTAGCCGGCGGTGGGCTGATGCTGCAGCTGAATATGCCAATGGCAGCACTGGCGGAGGACGGTGGCACACTGGTCCAATCCAAAGAACTCAACGTGTATGTGCAGATTGATACGGATGGCCAGATCACTATTTTTTCAGCTATTCCGGAAATGGGACAGGGTATTAAAACAACGCTGCCGATGATCATTGCGGAAGAGATGGGCGCCAGGTGGGAGGATGTGGTTGTCCTGGATGCGCCGCTGGATGCCGGCAAGTACGGGCTGCAGGGCGCTGGCGGTTCAACTTCCGTACCGAGAAATATAGATACCATGCGACGCATGGGAGCTTCAGCGCGGGAAATGCTGATTGGCGCTGCATCGTTGTTGATGGAGGTAGAGCGCGAAGACCTTGATGCTCGCGAAAGTAAGGTTGTTCACTCTTCCGGGGAGAGTATGACCTTTGGGCAGCTGGCTGCAGTTGCGGTGCGTCAACCCATTCCCGATCCGGAAATGCTGTCTTTCAAAGATCCACGCTCGTATACAATTATCGGCACCTCGGTGGGTGGTGTGGACAACCTTGTTATTGTGTCCGGCCAGTCACAGTTTGGTATTGATGTTGATGTGCCGGGGATGAAGTTTGCAACTTATGCACGCTGTCCTCGGATCGGTGGTCTTGCGACAGCTTTTAATGCGGCAGAAATTAAAAGTCTGCCGGGTGTTATCGATGCCTTCATCCTGCAACCTGATGCACGGGCTGGTAAAGCTTCAATGGCTTTTCTCGATGGCCTGGCTGACCTGCGTGGTGGTGTCGCCATTGTCGGTGAGGACACCTGGTCGGTGTTGGCCGCGAGGAAAAAGCTAAAAGTAACCTGGGATGAGTCTTCTGCATCCCAAGACAGCTGGACGCAGATGGTGGCTCAGGCGAAGCAGATAGCGGCCAGGGAAAGTGGTGAAGTTCGCCTCGACAATGCCGGCGTGGAGCCCGCATTTGCGCAAGCTGACAATCGTGTGCACGAAGCCTTTTATCAGTTCCCTTATGTTGCACACGTGTGCATGGAACCGATGAATGCAACAGTGCACTTCAAGAAGGGGGATGCCAACAATCCGGATCAAATGGAAATCTGGTTGGGCAGTCAGTTTCCCGGCCAGGTCAAAGAGATAGCCAACAACATGTTTGGTATTGCACCGGAAAATGTCACCGTGCATGCCAAGCGTATGGGGGGTGGCTTCGGGCGCCGAGCCGTACATGATTTTGCCGCAGAAGCCATGGCCATTTCCCATCGCGTCGGATTGCCCGTCAAGTTGACCTGGACGAGACCAGACGACATTCACAACGATTTTTTCAGGGTCGGTGGTTTTGAGCAGATGAAAGCAGCCATTGATTCAGATGGGAAGCTGGCCGCCTGGGATCAGCATTACATAGGCTTCTCCAAGCAGGGTAATCCGGTCATTGGTTCCGGTCTGCGCGGCAATGAATTTTCCATGGTTGCACTCGACAATGCGCGTGTGCGCCAGTCGATGATCGAGATAGCAACACCCTGCGGTGCCTGGCGGGCACCGGGTTCGAATACCAACGCTTTTGTAGAGCAGGGATTTATCCATGAGCTTGCGGTGCTGGCCGAACGGGATCATTTGGAATTTCTGTTGGAGCTTATGGGTGAGCGACGTTGGCTCAGCGAGGGTAACGTTAATGCCTTGAACACTGGCCGAGCCATCGATGTTATCAAGCTGGCCGCGGATAAAGCCGGTTGGGGTAAGACATTGCCGGCAGGTACAGGTCTGGGGCTGGCGTTCTATTTCTGTCATGCGGCGCATGTTGCAGAAGTAGCCCAGGTGTCCGTTGATGCAGATCGCAACTTTCGCGTCGAGAAGGTGACGGTTGCCGTGGACGTGGGCCCAATTGTTAACCGCAGTGGTGCAATGAGCCAGGTACAGGGCTCGGTGATTGATGGCCTGAGTACTATGGCACTGCAGCAGATCACCATGGAAAACGGTCAAATCCAGCAGGATAACTTTGATCAATATCCGGTTATGCGCATGGCGGCAACACCGGAAGTTGACGTACACTTTATTGAAAGCGATAACCCTTCAACGGGCCTGGGTGAACCGGCTCTGCCACCGCTGGCCCCGGCTGTCACCAATGCGATTTATGCAGCCACCGGCGTGCGGATACGTTCCATGCCGCTGAGCGAGCAGGGTTTTAAATTGATCTAGGCGAGTTTAAGGTTGAGCGAAAGATATAAAGCGTTACTGGTTCTAAATGCCGTGGGCCTGCTGATCAGTTCTGCGCTCAGCGGCTGGCTGCATTTCTTTCAGCTCCTTGGAGAAATTGACCTGTGGCCGATCGTTCATCATGTGGATGTGCAGGTGCCGGGTGAATCCCGTGCATGGATCATGGCACACCTGGAAGGTATTACGAATGGCCTGCTGCTCATAGGGGTTGCGGTTGCCAGCCGCTATCTCATGTTAACCAAAAAACAATTCAGCTGGCTGTTCTACAGTTCGCTCACCTTCGCCTGGTTGTTCACGCTGCCTGCAATTGCCAATGCCTGGTTTGGCACCCGTGGGCTTGCGTTTGGTGGCGGTCCTTTTGGTGACAGCCTGGCCAACAATGTCATCTACCTTTTTGGTTGGCCACCGATAACTGCGGTTCACATTGCCTTCGGCCTGATGGCCTGGGGTGCATGGAAACATTACCGCGCTCTGGCGCCAGATGAATGAGCCATCCGATAGAGATACGGAAAATTCCATTTGAGTTCAGTGACGACATAGCACCTGTCTGGAATGCCAAGCAGCCGGAATGGAGCCATATGGTCAATGGTGCCTCTCTGGCGATGCCATATCTTGAACCTTTCTTGATCAAAAATTTGCGTGAAGCGCAGGCGCTTATCGAAGATCCTGATCTTATTGAAGACATCCGTTTGTTTGTCGGTCAGGAAGCGCAGCACTATACAAATCACCGGCGCTACAACGAAATGCTAAAGCGGCATGGTTATCCGCAGCTGGCGGATGTTGAGGCTTCAATGACGCAAAGCTACAAGCGGTTGAGTTCACGGTCATTAGAGTGGCGGCTAGCCTATACTGCCGGCTTTGAAACCATGACCATGGGTCTTACGCATTGGTTGATTGCAGAACGCGAGAGCCTGTTTCAGGACGCTGATCCCGTTGTTACCTCCCTGGTGTTGTGGCACATGGTGGAGGAAATGGAGCATAAATCTGTGGCGTTTGATGTTTTTCAGGCAGTTTCGGGTTCTTTCTGGCTGCGCCTGTGGGGGTTGGTTTACGGTTCGATGCATGTAGGGTTGCTCTCGCGTAGAGGATACATGGCGATGCTCAAGCAAGATGGTCGCTGGCATCAGTGGCGCTCTCGCTTGGCACTTTGGCGCATGGTCTGCCGGTTCTTTCTAAAGGTGGCGCCTTCCATGCTGCAGGCTTCGCTCCCGTCGCATCACCCGGACAGCACTGAGGATCCTGTCTGGGTTGATCGTTGGCGTTCGGCCTATACGGACATAGACGCCGACCATTTGCCTCTTCTGGACACAAGTTGTGAAGGTATAGAGCCGGTGTTTGGCTACTCGTCGTTGCAGCGTGGTGGTGTCTGAGCACCAGACCATGGCGTGATGGGTACGGTTGATATGGCATTTTGCGGTGATCCGTCGACGATCCTGTCACTGTAGGCCAGGTAGACCAGCGTATTTCTCGTTTCATCGCAGAATCGAACAACCTGCAACTGTTTGAAAAGCACTGAGCGCCGTTCGGTAAACACCTGCTCACCTTTTTCCAACGAATCTTTGAAGGTAATTGGACCGACCTGACGGCAGGAAATTGAAGCATCTGATGTGTCTTCAGCCAGTCCGACGGCACCTTTAAGTCCACCCGTTACCGCACGGCTGATATGACAGGCAACGCCTTCAACCTTACTGTCGTCAAAAGCGTCGACGACAATTTTGTGATCTGGCCCGATGAGCTTGAATTTGGTATCAACGCTGCCAATTTCCTCTGCGTGTGCAAAGCCAGCCAAGAAAAGAAAAAAAATGGCTGCCAGCGTGCGGGTGAGTGTCATGGCGTTGTTTAATATCAAGCTGTTAGCTCCAGATTCTGTAGTTGCTGATTATGCGTATGGCTCAATAAAACAAGGGCGATTGTCGCTCCAGCAAGTGCCCAGGCCATGTCAGATTGAGTGTCCCATACATACCCCTGGGTGCCGAGGAATGATTCAGCGGCTTCGCCGGATAACAAGGCTACCCACCATTCGATGAGTTCATAAAACGCGCTGAAGCCAAGGCAAAAACAGATAATCAGAAAGGCTCTCCAGCGATCGCCGTTAACAACGGCTTTTCTGATCAGAATTTCCCGCGCAACAATAGCGGGTACAAAACCTTGTACAAAGTGTCCCAGCTTGTCGTAGTTGTTGCGGTCGCTGTTGAAGACTTCAGCGATCCAGTCGAACAAAGGGACTTTGGCGTAGGTGTAATGTCCGCCAACCATGAGGATAATGCAGTGAGTCAGGATGAGGACATATGTCAGTGGTGTCAGGGGAAAGGATTCCCGGGTGTACCATAGCACCGCTGCAGCGATGATCGCCGGTCCTACTTCCAGGACCCAGGTTGGATAGTCGTGAGGCCCGATGCCTGACCAGAGTAAAACGATGGCAAATAAAGCGACCCAGACCGATTGCCGAAACAGCGTCGTGTTCATGTCTTCTCTCCGCAAAGTCGGGCGAACAAACCCCTCAGGCAACTTGTGTGGCTTGTCCGGCAACAATATACCAGGTAACAAACAGTGCGTTTACGATGGCCCCCGGTAGATACCGTTCCGTCCGACGGAAGGCATAGGTGCTGATAATGGCGACGATCAGAAGCAGGGGCACAAACTGGATCATTACAATGGTGTTCAGTGGTTCGCCTGGTGTCAGCAGTGTGCCCGCGCTGAAAAGATAACCATATTGAGCCATCAGAAATAACAGGAAACCGCCCATCATCGCCAGCGCGTTGGCTGTGTAGAGTGTCAGCCATCCATCCCCGTTTACGCTCATGCCTAAGTGCAGGGGCCTGAGCACGCCGATGAAGTAAATGAGAAAGGGTACAACGTAGATCAGCGCCAGCTGGAACTGTTGCAGGCTCAAGGTTTTAAGGCCTACAAACCAGAAGCGGAAATCAACGGTGAACACCACATCCACGACGATGACCGTAAGGTACGCCACACCAGCGGTAAGGCATCCAAGCGCTAAGCTGCGTCCGGGTAACTCGGCGTTGTGTCGCGCCGCGGTAGCCGTCATTTTCATGATTGCCGTCGCGAAAGCCGCGTTGACCAATGCCCAGAGCACAATCTGATTGGTTATACCTTGGGCAAACCAGGTGTTGGGTGGAAACAAAGCCTCCGCCCAGGAGAAAAGTGGGTAAAAGGTAAAGACCGGCAAGAAAGCGCTCAGGGTAGCCAGCAACCACCACTTTACGTTTCGGTGGCTGAACGCTGCCTCACCGGTTGAGCCTGCCAGGCTGCTGAAGAATTCGAGGTTGAGAAAAAGACGCAGGCTGCCAAGAATGAGAACAACCAGTCCAATAAACGCAATCAGCGTACCGATTTCCTTGAAAAACCAGATCTGATTTGATGACGGCAGATCCTGCCCTCCCGTCAGGGTTTGCGAGAACCAGTCCAATGCATCAGCGATGGATTCATGTGAAAGGTGGTTGCCTGGATGAGTGACTGATGGCTGCATCAGCATACGCCCTGTACCGGCTTCGATGTTGCCGTACAGGGTGTCTGCCAGAACGTCTTTATCGGTGCCAAACAGAGTCTGTAGTTTGGCGCTCTGATTAATGTCCTGTGCGCGGGCCACACCCCACATAAGTTCAGCAAACTCGTCGAATTGAGCGAATACAACCGCCAGATTTCGTGGCCAGGTGGGTGTACCGTCAGCCGCAAACGGAGGGCCTGTGCTTGAACCCTGCAGGACAATAGAGCGATAGCCATCAGGCATGGCTGCAGCTGCGGCAAGCACTGCCCAGCCACCCATCGAGTGTCCTTCCAGGCCGATATTTTCCGTATCCACCATGTCCAGCGCGTGCAGGTATCGCAGTGCATCCGGTCCACCGAATCCTTCACTGAAGGCGGGAGGGTCTGAATAACCGTGGCCGGTCTGGTCCAAAGCGAGAACAACATAGCCGCGTCGGGCAAACTCAACAGCGAATCCGGATTGCACTTCACGTGAATTGATATAACCGTGTACGGCAAGGATGGCAGGGGCTTTGTTGTCAGCGGTGGCGCTGGCAGGCAGATACAACAGTGCGCTCAGCGTGTTGCCGTTTGCACTTTGAAAACGAATATCTTTGATCGTGACATCAGAAGATGTCTGGATGAAGTGCGCGAGCCCCGCGCCAAACAGGATAACGATCCAACCTGCCAGGAAAACGCCCCATTTAGACATTTTCATAGTCCTCGCAAATGGATCAAAAACTCATCCTAAGTGCTGGGGGTGTCAGTAGTGCTGGGGGTCTCAGTTTTTTTGGTGTTGTCCTGGGCTGCCTGTCGTGGCTTACCGGGAGCAAAGTTTGCCTGAGCGGATACGCCGGTAGGAATCTGTTCGATTTTATTTCCGGAGTTCAGAAAACGCTCTACATCAGAAGCCAGCGCTTCACGACGTAGTGCTGAGTTAGGATTCGATTCGGGTTGTTTCTTCTTCACTGTCGGCTCCTTGTTTGGCCTTGTTGAGTTTCTTTGCTTCTTTCTTTTTCTGTTTTGCTAACTCGCGTTGGCGTTTTTCATGGGAATAATTCGGTTTTTTCATCAGATTGCGTCAGCCCTCTTTGTAGGTGTGTTGGTTTTGGTCGGATTCGCATGAATCCCAGCTGCACAAAAAGGCATTGATCGTAAAATGACTCATAACCAGAGAAGGCGTCGAGTATACGCGAAAGGGACAACAATTTCCTGCTCGCGTCATGTCAGGACTTTGACCATATCCGCAGGTTCAGACTGAGTTCGTTAACCAGGGCGAGCAGCGCTTCAACATCACTAATAAAGCTGTTGATTTGTCCTGCACAATCGGCGGGTTGATATAGAGAAGGCTCAAAACGATTTTTGCCGGTGGGTAGCAGCATGATCATCTGATCTTTCTGGAAAAGAATCCGTAGCTTTGGAAATCTTCTGTGCACCGACAGGATTCGCCGCATCATGCTGGTACTCAATATGTAGCGTACATCCGTCTGGTCGGTACTTACCGTGGCAAACTGAGCCTGAAACTCCGGGTCCTCAAGCACAACTTCTTTCTGCCTGCGGACACGTTTCTGCTTTTCACCTGCCGGCGTGATGCGGGTTGTGCTGTGAAAGTGTTTATGAAATTCAGCAATGAAAATGATGCCGCGAAAGTAGCTGTCCAGATACGTTTCGACACCATCTCCGGTCACCCGGCGGCGCTCTCGTTTAGCATGTGCTTCTGCAAAGGTAATGTCAGTCTGCTGTACGTGACCTTCGAAGAGATCTTCACTCTGGTACCAGTCACTGATCCAGGGAAACAGGTTGCTGTCATCAAGGACGCGCCATGGAATTCCGTTGTCAGGCCTGTAAGCGAGTCCCGGGAAATGTGAAGCGCAAATCCTGCTGAAGATTGTAGATTTATAGTCACGCAGGTAGGCCCAGCCGGGTTCTCGCCCACTCCGGTTGAAGTAACGCAGCAGAAGATACAACCCGCCGAAGAACCAGATCGAGCCGCCGATGAACAAGCCCAAGGCAAGATTTGCTGCTCCTTCAGCCTCCCAGCCTAGAAGCGATGCGCTCTGTTCTGTCAGTGTCTGCAAAACAATAACATCGTCACTTGGTAAGAAGAGCAATGCAGGCAACAAACAAAATGGCAGCAACAGAAAAGCTTTACACAACGTGAGCCAGAATGCCCTGATAGCCCGACGGCGCTGACGTTCCAAAATTTGAAAAGTCTCTTCCAGTCCGGTCAGATGTGCAGAATTGCTGGCCTGCCAGCTCCGAGCGTTCAATGGGATTAGCCAGCCAGGTTCACGATGGGTGCCTGCTGGGCGCCTGTTTCGGCAGCATAAGGCGTCTGGACGCTGAAGCCGCACAGTTTGGCAACAATCAGGGTTGGAAATTGCTGCACAAGGTTGTTCATAAGCATCACATGGGCATTGAAGGCCCGCCGTGAGGCTGAGATCTGTTCCTCTGCTTCGGTCAGATTTTTCATCAGATTGATAAAAGGGACCTGGGCCCGCAACTCCGGGTAGGCTTCCAGGCGAACGTTTAACAGGGCTAATGCCTGAGCCAGACCTGCCTCCGCCCCAGCACTCTGCGCGCCGCCTAATGCATCTATCGCCTGGCTTCGCGCTAAAGTCACTGCAGTCAGAGTGCTTTTCTCATGGGCAGCATATCCACTAACCACTGTTACCAGGTTGGGAATGAGCTGGTGGCGGCGCGCCAGATTCACGTCAATACCTGCTCTGGCATTGGTACAACTGTTGCGCGCGGCGATCAGTTGGTTGAAAACCACGATGAAGTAGATGACCAGAACGCCCAGCAGTAGGTAAGTGATATCGACCATCTGGTCTGCGGGCATCCGTTAGTGGTTTGCGATAAAGCCTATGATAGTCAAATCGATGTGGTCAGACCTTGCGCTTGGTAGAGTCGTAGATCTTTTGGTCGCGGTTAGAGATCTAAACTGGTAAGCGGATCACACAAACAGTGTGCTGTTATCCGGTTGCTGTGATCAAGAATGGCCTTTTGATTCCAGTGTCTGAACCAGTTCAGTTAAGGTTGCGTTAACAGGTGCGTTGAGGCCCACTTTTGCACCCTGTCGTGGTATTGCGCCATTGATCACGTCTACTTCGCTGATGCGACCTGCTTCCAGATCCAGCAACACCGAGGGTTTGGCATTGGGCATGCGTTCTGCAAAGTCTCTAATCTCTCTATCCGGGTCGGTAAACCGCAGTGTCACGCCTGACGCTATGGCCACGTCAAAAGCTTCCCGTGCAGCAGCTCTGCTGACAATACTCATGTGCGGGTGATCGAGGACGTCACCTACGGTCAAGCCTGAAATGGCGCAAGGTGCGCTATAGGCGACGTTGCAGATGAGTTTCTCCCATTGCATAGCTGCGATGTCGATAACCGGCGCGGCATCAAATCCGGCGTCTGCCCACACTTGAGCAATGCTGCTGACTTCAGCATAAGCAAGGCTGTCGTAAGCCCCCATGCGGATGGCTTTCATGTCGTTATGGTGTGCAAAACCGGGCTCCGGCAGTGAAGCGCCAAACCCCTGGGCAACGCCGACCAGCAGGCGTTCCTCACCCACGTGGTTGGCAACTGTTTCCGCACTGCCGAGTCCGTTCTGGATGGTCAGCACGCGCGTGTGTGGGGCGATAAGGGGTTGCAGAGAGGCGGCTGCAGATTCGATAAAACGCGCTTTCACCGCGCAGATGATCAGGTCTGTTGGCATCTCGGGGGGAGTGGTATAGCCCTGCAGCTGCACGGTGCGATCGCCACTTGCGCCACTGACGCGCAGTCCGTGCGTGTTGATTGTGTTGATGTGATCTTCATTGGGGTCGACGACAGAGACGTCATGGCCTGCAGATGCAAGCAGGGCTGCATAGATCGATCCCATAGCTCCGCAACCTACAACAAATATATTCATTTCAGCTTTCCAGCAGACGCTCGATAAAAGGTACTAATTCTGTTTTCTGCTCCAGGCCGAAGCCAGGTGCATCGCTGGGAAACACCCGTCCGTCGAAAATTCGACTTTGTGCGGAATAGCCGCCAAACGGGTTGAATACACCGGGATAAGCTTCACAACCCCCCAGCCCCAGCGCGGTGACAATGTGCAGATTGATCAGGTGACCACCGTGAGGAATGCACTGTGTCCTGGGGAACCCAGCGTCGCTGGTGACCTGCAGTATTTTCTGATACTCGGTCAGGCCGTAAGATAAACCCGGGTCCATCTGCAGAATGTCTTTGTCAGGACGCAGGCCGGCATAGCGCATCAGATTGTGGGTATCAGCCGCGCTGAAAAGGTTTTCACCGGTGGCAATTGAGCCGTGGTAGTGCTCGCCGAGTTCTGCCAGCAGGGCGTAGTCTAACGGATCTCCTGGTTCTTCATACCAGCGCAGGTTATAGGTAGCCAGTTGTTCTGCATAGATCCGCGCGGTGGGCAGATCGAACCGCCCGTTAGCATCCACTGCTATAGCTCCTGGGCTGCCCGCAATGTTGATAGCGGCCTCAATACGTTGCATGTCTTCTGTTAGCGAGGCGCCGCCAATTTTGATTTTGAAGGACTGATACCCCTGGTCCTGATAGGACTTCAGCTCGTCCGCTAAACGGCCGCTCGATCCGCCCGGGTAGTAGTAGCCGCCTGCGGCGTAGACTTCTGCACCCGGTACGGGCGGCATCTGCTCTAGGGTCTGCGCGATATATTGATACGCAGGCTGATCGGCGAGTTTTGCGTTGAGATCCCAGAACGCCAGCTCCAGGGCTGCCGCTGCACCGGCACGATCGCCGTGCCCACCAGGTTTCTCGTCGCGCATGATGGCGGCGGACACTTTTGTCAGATCAAAGCGATTGCCGTCCGCGCTCAATAGTGATGCTGGATCTGCCTCCAGCAGGCGGGGCATCATGCGCTCGCGCAGAATGCCGCCCTGGCCAAAACGACCTATGGAATTGAAGGCCAGACCGGTGACTGCTTTACCCTCTCTGATCTGATCGCTGACAATGGCAACCAGCGAAACCGTATGTTTCGAAAAGTCGACCACCGCATTGGCGATGTTGCCCTGCAGATTAACAGTCTTTTCATGAATCGCTTTTATGCGCATCGTGCGGAATGGCCGGTCAGAATGTTCGCATCTGGCGGTAGCCAATACCTTTGGGTTCGTAGGCCATCAGTTTAGGCAGGTCAGGATGCTCCCGTGCCAATACGCCGGCGGCCTGGAACGCGGCTTCATTTATCCATTGGGCCTGGTGGACAAGGGTCTGCCCATCGTTGCTCGCCAGCAGCTGGCTTTGGATGAAGCCCGGCTGGCGGCTGAGGAAGCTGTCGACATAGCTGGCAATGTCATCCACTGCCTGGCTCTGGTTATCTGGCGTTGTCTTGAAGGTGACAACAACATAGTGATGTTCAGTGCTCATGAGATCTCTGCTCTGACAATGTCTCTGCCCAGCACCATATTGCGGAGCTTTTCAAAGGCAACCTCACGTGACAGGTATTTCATGCCGCAGTCTGGTGCGACGACAATCTGCTCCGCAGGTATGACCTTAAGCGCGGCGCGGATGCGATCGGCAACCATCTCTGGCGTTTCAGGTGTTGTATCACGCAGGTCTAAAACACCAACGTGTACTTTTTTGTTAGGCAGGCAAGCGAGTAAATCCATTTTCAGTTTGGGTTGCGCGCATTCAATTGACACCTCGTCTGCGCGGCAGGCATCCAGCTCTCCGAGGAATGCATATCCCTCAGGTTTGTTATCAACGTGCTTGCCATAGCCGAAACAGACATGCAGGACGGTAGGGCCTGCCGCGCCCTGCAAAGCGCGGTCAATGGCGGCCACCGCGTACTCTCGAGCAGCCTCGGGACGCGCCTGCACATAAGGCTCGTCCAGTTGTACGATATCCACGCCCGCTGCAAAAAGATCTCTGAGTTCTTCGTTAACAGCCTCGGCGTAGGCCATTGCCAGATCGCCGTCGTTTTCATAAAACTGATTATCGGCTTGTTGTGCCAGCGTGAAAGGCCCCGGCAGGGTAATTTTTATGGGTTTGTCGGTATGTGCTTTGAGGAAAGCGATATACGGCGCTTCTACTGCTGCCCGGCGTCTGATCGCGCTGGTGACACGAGGCACAGGCACTTTTTTACCAGTTCGGTCGATGGCTTCCCCGGGGTTGTCTATGTTTACACCCTCCAACGCGTTTGCAAATCTGTTGGAATAGCTTTCGCGCCGCATTTCGCCGTCGGTGACAATGTCCACACCGGCGCGTCGCTGATCATCCAGGGCAATCAGCGTTGCGTCGTTCTGCGCTTCTTCTAAATCATCCGGTGCGGGTTTCCACAATTCATGCAGAATAACTCTGGGCGGCAGGCGCGCACCCAGACGTGATTTATCAATCAGCCAGTCCGGTTGGGCGTAGCTGCCCACCAGCGAGGTGGGTAGGATCGGATACTCAATCATGGGTTTCTCCAAGATGATCGCTAAGGTTTGCGTAAGTCTGCGCCAGCACCTTTCTGGCAATGTCGACCTCTCTGGGGTCTATGCCGGCAAGTGCAATCTCGTTAACGGTGACCACCTTCGGCATCAGTGTTGCGCGCAAATTGTGTGCCCGTGGCGTTAAAGTGATGAAGACCTTGCGTTTGTCGTCTTTGCTGCGCGTGCGTTTGGCAAAACCCGCTTCAACAAGGCTGCGTACGGCATGCACCGTAGTTGCTTCTTTGGTGCCGGTTCGCTCGCTTAACTCCCTTTGTGTGATGTTGTCTTCTTCCCACAGCACTCTGAGTAATCGCCATTGTCCGGCGCTTACGCCGTGAGGCAGCGTCAACTTCTCCAAAGCTCTGGAGAACATGCGGAAGTTCACTCGGGTCAGATAACCCATGCTGTGCATAGGTTCCAGGTAGGGGTTGGGTGGCAGCGGCTTGGCCGTTTGCGGCATATTCAGCCTCCTTTAGTGCGCAACCAATCGACAATCATGTCCGCGACTTTGTCGCGTGCATCACCCGGGTTTTCCAGATAGTGGTCGCCAGGGATCATCTCAAGATGTTTGTCCGTACTTGCGAGCGTGTCGTAGATCGATTTGGCATCGCTGGGAAATACGCCGGTATCTCCTGTGCTTTGAATTACCAGCGCTGGTTGAGATATTCGACTCAGATGTTCGGTGCCGCTGCAGTGCGAATCGCGCAATGACCACATCGACAGCCAGGTGCGCAATGTATTGTTCAAGCCGATGCCTCTGGGAGAGAAATTGGCAGTTTTCGGATCGCCGGCGTAACAGCGTCCAACTTCCCGTTCAGATGGATCCATGGTGCCATCCATCAGCCGCAGATCAGCCCAGGTGCGATACATGTTGAACGCCCGATCAGTCATACCCAGTTCTGCCAGGCGTTCCAGTTCCGCATAACACCAGTCGGTTATGCGGTGATTGCGTGCCCGCTGGGCGGCTCGATATTTCTCTATGAAATCAGCTGCGTAGGGTGGCCCGTTGTCCGGGTTAAACATGTTAAGGCTTTCGTCAATACTGGTTGGGTCGCGCTCATCTGTGATGGACGGGTCAAACCAATCGGTGAGCACTTCCGGGCGTCCAAGGTGGGCGCACAGGGATATGTACAGCTCCGCAGGTATCAGGTCATGCAGCGCATCCGGTATTTTGAGACCCGGCGTGGCAGACATGGTGACGCCGAGTGCCTGTGATTGATAAGCGCCCATCAGGGAGCCTCCGCCGGAGTTGCCAAGGATGACAATGTTTTCCACGCCGGCGGTTTCACGCAGCCATTTAACACCGGCGCCTATGTCGATAAGTGCATGTTCCAGCAGGAAAAATGCTTCATTGCCGCGAAAGCGTGTGTTCCAGCCGAGAAAACCAAAACCACGCTCTGCCATATAAGGGCCGAGGTAATGCTCGCTGAAGTCAACGTTGTAGTGGGTTGCAATGAGTGCTGTTTTTGCCGGTTTGCCACTGGGCTTGAAGTAGAGGCCCTGGCAAGGGTTAAAACCGGCGCCATTGCGTGCGCTGGTGGCGGAAGTGCAGGAGACAAATTCACGTTCCCAGTTTGGCATGATCCCTCTTCATACGGCCGAAAGTACTTAGCGATCAAAGTATATTGATCTTGAGCGTTAAGCAAGTAGAATGAAACCCACCAGTCGCTTGTAGGTATCCCGGGGAGAGAGTTATGGCGGAAGGAACGATCATGCAAGGTGCCTCTTCAAAAAGAGATTCTGCCGCCGCGCATTCGGGTCGAACCACGATGTCGGGGCATCACATATCTGATGGCGAGCGCGCATTGATCGAGTCGTTATCTGCTCTTGCACCCATCTTGAGTGAGAACGCGGCCTTGGCCGAACAACAGCGTAAGCCAGTCGATACCGTCATGCAGGCCATTGAAGATACCGGCGCTTACCGTTGGTTTGTGCCCAAAAAATATGGTGGCTATGAATACTCGCTGAGCGGATTTATGGAAGTGGGTATCGCCCTGGGAGAAGGCTGTACCTCACACGCCTGGGTAACCACCTTCTGTATGGAGCACAACTGGCTGCTGGCACTGTACGACCAGGCCGCCCAGGACGATCTGTTTGGTTCTCATCCGTATATCATTGCTCCTGGCAGTCTCGCGCCCAATGGTAGGGCCACCCCTGTCGACGATGGTTATCGCATCAGCGGTCGCTGGCAGTGGGGTACCGGTGTCATGCACGCCAACTGGGTTATGGTCGGTGTGCTCACCCCGGTCCCGGGTCAGGACGCGCCTATGATGGGCATGTTTGTCCTGCCGGTTGAAGAAACAGAAATTATTGATACCTGGCACGTTGAAGGCATGGTGGGTACCGGCAGTAACGACATCGAAATCAAAGATGTTTTTGTGCCTGAACACCGAATGGTGGATCTTTCTCTGGTGCGGGATGGCAACAGCCCCGGGGCGCGTCTGCACAACTCGCCAATCTACAAAATGCCCATGCTCCCTGTTCTCGGCCTGACGGCAACCGCGCCGTTGGTGGGTGCGGCGAAAAATGCAGTGCGCCTGTTTGAAGAGCGCATGCAGGGTCGCACGGTTTATGGCACAACAAGCAAGCAAGGTGAACGTGCCCTGGCCCAGTCCCGCCTGGCGCATGCCAGAGTCGAAATGGATGCCATTGTTGATCAGCTGTTTCATGTGGCGGGAGAGGTTGAAAGCTGGGGTGAGCGCGGCGAACCCTGCCCTGATATTGATCGTGCTCGCCTGCGGGTTGAAATTGGACATCTTGTCCGGCGTTCGCGAAACGTGGTTCGTGATGTGGTGGAAGCATGTGGCGCCAGTGCACATTTTCTGGACAACCCATTGCAGCGCGCCTTGCGTGACTTGAATACAGCCTCCTGTCACACGGTTTTTGATCTGGATGTCAGTACCGAGATATATGGCCGTCTGTTGGTAGGTCTGCCTGCTAACGGGCCTATATAGTTGGCTGTGAGGGCCTCATATAGACATCGGCAGTGTCTGTTCAAGCTTGTAGCTTGCGCCTGTCTCATTGTGCTGAGTCCATTTGTGGCTGCAGACACCTGTCCAGGTTCAGTGGCCGGCGTAAAGCACATCTACTGGGGTGACCTGCATGTGCATTCGGGTTATTCCCTGGATGCCTGGGGGTACGGCACAGCGACAACGCCAGCCCAGGCGTATGCTTTTGCAAAGGGTGCACCGATAACGCTGCCGGGTGGGAATTCGGTCAGCATGCCGCGGCCACTGGACTTCATGGCCGTGACAGATCACGCCGAGTGGTTCAATCTGATGTATGTCTGTACAGACCCTTTGGCCAGTGACCATCCGTATTGCGATATCCTCACTGAGAAAAATACACCGCAGACAGGCACTGAGGTGTTTCGTAACTATGTCCTGCCGACAATCACTGAAGCCCAGCCTCAACCAACACCGTTGTGTGAAGAGCAGCCTGAACTTTGTGCCTCGGCTCATTTGACCCAGTGGCAACGTGTGCAGGATCAGGCGAATGAAGCCAACGACCCCTGCAGTTTCACTTCGTTTGTTGCGTTTGAATGGTCCGCAACACCCGACTATAGCCACAACCACCGAAATCTGATTTTCGCAAACGATAATGTGACGCCGGATGCACCTGATTACATGCGCTACCCCACACCGCACAAGCTGTGGCAGGAACTGGAGCGGCAGTGTTTGCCGGAAAATGGGTGTGACGTCATCGCTATACCCCACAATACAAATATGGGTGACGGCAAGAGCTTTGATGTCGAAACCGAGTCTCCAGATGAATTAGCTTTGCGGGCGAGGTACGAGCGCCTGGTTGAGATTCATCAGGAAAAAGGCAACAGCGAATGTCTGTCCGGGTTTGGTCAAACCGACGAGGACTGTAATTTCGAATTGTACCTGACAAAAAACTCCGTGCCGACGGCCGCCGACGGGTATGTTGAGGCGGAGTGGGAGCAAATGCGAAGTGGCTATGTGCGGCGCCTGCTGCTGCGCGGATTGTACGCTTATCAGCGCTCTGGAGAGAGCGCGTTGAACCCTCTGCAACTTGGCATTATAGGGTCTACCGATAACCATTCAGGCACCGGGGGTTTTGTTGATGAAGAAACCTGGCCGGGTACCGTATTCGGGTTTGGTGACTTTGATCGCACCATGGTTCGAGTGGACTGGAATCCAGGTGGCTTGGTCGCCGTTTGGGCAGAAGAAAACACGCGTAAGAGCATTTTTGCCGCGCTGAAACGTCGTGAAGTGTATGCCACCAGTGGTCCGCGTCTGCGCGTCCGGCTTGATGCCGCACCAGAATCACTCAGTTGCACCACCGACGCGCAAGCGGCTTCGGTACCCATGGGCGGCGTACTCAATCAGGTAGACAACGCGTTTTTCCGTATTCAGGTGCAAGCTGATCACTCACCTGTTGGTACTGTGCAGATTATTAAAGGCTATCTTGAAAATGGCGAGTTACACGAAGAGGTTGTAGACGTCTGGCAGAATAAAGACGGCGCTGCTGACATCTGTGTGCAATGGCAGGATGAGCATCTGAATGCTCAAGAACCTGCGTTCTGGTACGCAAGGGTACTGCAGGTGCCCACACCCCGATGGAGTGCGTATCGGTGTGAGCGTGAAGGACGGTGTGATGAGTTCCCACAAGCGGATCGTTGGATACGTGAGCGTGCTTGGACATCACCAGTCTGGTACTTGCCGGGAGCTGACGGTGAGTGATCACAAGCGATTATTAGAAGCTGATGGTCAGCGCCGGCAGGCGATGATCAATGCTGACACCGATATTTTGGCGCAATTGCTGTCTGACGATTTAGTCTGGACGCACTCATCGGGTAAAACCGAATCTAAAGCTGAGGTGATTAAAGCACTTGCAGAAGGGGCAGTGGCATATAAAGCGTTAGAGATGACGCAGGATCGGGTGTTACATGCCGGCGGAAACTATATTCACCAGGGTGTGCTGCGCGGCAGCGCGGTACGTGACGGCGAAACAAAATTGTTAAATGCCAGATTTCTATCGGTCTGGCAGGAAGTAGAAAACCAATTTCAGTTAGTGGCCTGGCAGTCTACTAATTTGAGTTGAAGCGGCGTTTTGGAGGCGTCGGCAGGCTTGTCTGTAAATAGACAAACTTGCAAAAATGGAGAAGAGAGATGGTTAAGTATTTTAACGGGGAGATGAGAATGAAAAGATTCAGCCTTAGTCACTTTAGCCTGACGGCGATACTTACAGCCGCAGGCTGTTTAAGTAGTGCTGTTGTGGTTGCTGAAGAAAGGCAGACAGTACTCGAAGAAGTTGTGGTGACCGCAACAAAAAGGGAAGCCAGTTTGCAGGATGTGCCGATATCTGTGGGCGTGGTGACCGGCGAATTTATTGACACGTTTGATATTCGCGATATGAGCGATGTACAGAATTTTGTGCCTGGTCTGCAGGTGCAACAAACGTTTGGTAGCTGGTCGGTAAGGATCCGCGGCTTGGGTTCAGGTATTACCAACTTAGCATTTGATTCCTCCGTTCCAGTTTACATTGATGACGTGTACTGCGGCCGCGGTAAGTGCCTGGAGTCTGCGTTCCTCGATATGGAACGGATAGAAGTTGCTCGAGGTCCACAGGGTGCGTTGTTTGGTAAGAGCACAATTGCCGGGGCCATCAACACCGTCAGCCAGCGACCCACCGATGAATTCGAAGCGCAGATCAAAATGGGCGCGGAACTGGAAAACGGCGGCTACACAAGCACCGGTTATCTTTCTGGCGCACTCACAGACAGACTGCGTGCCCGTCTCGCGGTGCGTATGGATGATCTGGATGGCTACACAAAGAACCTTGCCTTAGGCCAGGACGATGGTGACAAGAAAACGCGAGCGGCAAGACTGGGCCTTGAGTGGGATGCCACCGATACAACTCAGTTTTATCTTAAACTCGAAGCTGGCGAATCGTCTACAGATGGGCGCAACAACCAACTCGTCAACAGTACCGGGACGATGACTCGAGTGACGACGGACCCAAATGCAGAGTATCGCGCCAATGACATCAGGAGTGTCAGCACAGGTGTTGAAGAAGAAGACTTTTACGATTACGACTGGTCCTCTGCAACGCTGACGATGGACACCGAAGTTGCCAATCACTCGGTGAAAGCCGTTCTGGGTTATTGGGAATATGATAACGAATGGTTCCTGGAAATTGATGGCCATCCTGAGGCTATTCTGAACACATATCTGGCGGACGAGTACGACCAGAGCACGGCCGAAATTCGCGTTTTGAGCCCAACCAATCAAACTTTTGAATACATTGTTGGTGCCTGGTATCAGCAGTCAGATCTGGAAACGCGTCAATTCTCGCCCTTCTATCCGCTGTTCTGGCAGGCCGCTCTGCCACCCTTCCTGCAGGGCGCTATCCTTGATGTGCCTTCAGGCATGGATCGTAACTTTGCCCGGGAAAGTGATGCTTATTCGGTTTATGGACAGTTGACCTGGAACATCACTGATCGACTGCGTGCGATATTTGATATCCGTTATACCGATGAAGAGCAGGAAGGCGTTGGCGCATCCTGGCCTATTCTGTTCACCGGCAGTACGTTCAATCCTGAACGGGTCGCCCAGAGTACCTTTGGACACAATACCGAATACCTGTTTTTCCAGGACCGTTCAGATGACAGCGTTGATCCTTCGGTACGTGTTCAGTATGACGTCAATGAAGACATGATGGTGTACGTGGCTTATGCCGAAGGTTCCAAAGCTGGTGGCATGAAGGCTAATGATGCGACATTGGGTGCGCAGCTTCTTTCACGTGTTGGTTCAGATCCGGATTATGCGCAACGTTTTCTTGGCATGCCCACAGCTACGCCAGCTGATCTGATCAACGGCGTCACCTTTCAACAGGGCAACGGTATTTTCGACTTTGAAGATGAAGAGGCGGAAAGCTGGGAACTGGGTGTGAAAACCTCGCTGTTCGACAATTCCGCATCGTTGGCGATCGCTCTGTTCTCGACTGAGTTCACCAACCTGCAGACGTCAAACTACGATGGCGAGCAGTTCATTATCGGTAACGCCGGTAGTGCAACTGTAGATGGCTTTGAAGTGGAGTTCAGCTGGCAGGCGACGGACAACCTGCGTCTGCAGAGTTCTCTATCCTGGATAGACGCAACCTATGATGATTTTGCAGGTGCGCAGTGTGTTGAAGGTTCTGACGGTTTGCCTGCAAACGCAGACTGTGATCTTGTCAGTGGTACCGAAAATCAGAAAGGGGAGAAGCTCGAACGCTCACCCGATATGGAATTTAACCTGAATGCAATCTGGACGACTCAGATCTCAGACACCATGCGTCTGACTGCGACAGGCTCCATTTACTATTCGGACGACTATTTTGTGCAGCCCACGCAGGCGCAATACGCTACTCAGGATTCGTTCACCAAGTACGATGCGCGGGTGGCTGTCAGTGCGAATGATGAGCGCTGGGAAGTGGCCCTTATTGGTCGAAACCTCGGAGATGAAATGACAATCCAACACGCTTACGTCGTGGCAGGTAATCAGTTCAATAACCTCAGTATTGGTCGGTCTACAGTGATGGAGGCTACCTTCCGTTTCTAGAGCAGGCATTGCAGAAAAAAATCGCTGCAAGATTGAAAAGGGCGCCTGTGTGGCGCCCTTTTTGCTGAATCGACACGAGCTTTCCCCGCGCGTAGCATGTCTTCCGAAATCTTTGTGTGCTTGAGGGGTGAACATGGTCCGGATTGTTTTGCAGGTCATAGGTATTCTGATACTTATACCGCTGGTTACCATCGTAACCTTGCGCATCGATAACCAGGATGCGGACGGGCCATCGGTGCTGTTCCCTGGCGGCAAGCTGGTGAGCGGAGAAATGCACTCCGGACCTGAGCCCGATTGGTCTTTTACGGACGATGTACCCACCATAGAGCTGCAGTTGGAAGACCCGCTGGCTTCGCGCGTCATTTTTGTTATGGAGAGTGACGGCAAAGTTTATGTGCCTTCCGGCTATATGCGCAGCTTCCTGGGGCGGTTGTGGAAAGAGTGGGCATTCCAGGCGGATGCGGGCAATGGTCTGGCCGTAGCACGCATCAATGGCGTGCGATACGAACGACAGCTGGTGCGGGTTAAAGACCCACAGGAAATCAGCGGCGTTGCAGCAAAACTGGCGCAGAAATATGCCGGCGGAGCTACGCCGGAGGCAATTGCCGAAATAGAACGATCCGTGGCCGACGGTGATACCTGGATATTTCAAATGGCGCCAAGGGGAGCTTCATCATGACAACAAAAAACTATCTGATTCTCTGTGCAGTCCTCAGCGCGGGTTTGTCGCTCAGTCTGCTTTACATACCTTCGTTCTCGCTTTTTGTTGAACAGGTCATGTTGCTGTTTCTTTCAACTAACGCTGGCTAGCTCGCGCGTGGCCTGGTGGAAAATTCTACTGATCGGACTGCTGGTTCTTGTGCTGGGTGGCGCAGGCGTTGCCTGGTATGTCATGAACTATGTTGAACTCGACATATACGTGCCGCTTTACACTGAAAACTGCGCTGGCTGCCACGGCAAACAGATGCAAGGCACTCATCGCGGAGTTGCGCTGCTTGGTGGTCCGCTTGAGCGCGGCGACAGCGTCGATGAACTGCAGATCAGCATTCGACAGGCACATTTTGAACTGGGCAATCCGGCATTTGCTGATGTGCTTTCAGATGTGCAGGTGAAAGGGCTGGCAATCTATATAGGTGAGCGCCGTATGGGTCAGCATTTCACGGATTTCCGCTTTGACCGGGACGTTGAGGTTCCGCAAGAACTGCAGATCAGCGAGAAGCACAACTTTCAAATCAATACAGTAGCGGAAGGCCTCGACCCAATGGTGTTCAGTATAGAGCCGTTGCCGGATGGTTCAATGCTGCTGACAGAAAAAGAGCGCGGCTTATCGATAGTGTCACCCGATGGTGTTCAGTCAGATCTGATTGTCGGCACACCGGAGATGGGCAGCTCAGTAGATATCATGGGCATTCAGTATGGTTCGGGCTGGCTGCTGGACGTTGCCATACATCCGCAGTACGAAGATAACGGCTGGATCTATCTGCATTACACGCATATCTGTGGCGACGAATGCGGTACCTCTATGCTGTCAGCGACCATGAACCGTCTGGACCGTGGTCGTATAAGAGATGGGCAATGGGTCGATGTGCAGACCATCTGGCAGGCGCCGGTAGAGTTTTATTCTCCAACACCAGACACCGGCGCCGGTGGGCGCATAGCTTTTGATGACTCAGGTCATGTCTTTATTTCGCTGGGCATCAAATCCGCTGATGGCACCAATGACACGACGCCGCAGGATTTAAGCCTGCCGTACGGCAAAATACTGCGTTTGCAGGATGACGGTACTATTCCACTGGATAATCCGTATTTTGTCTCGACTCAGGAAGGCAGCGTTGCTGCAAGTGCCGTTACTCCTGCGATATGGAGTTACGGGCACCGCAGTCCTCAGGGTCTGGAGTGGCATCCGGAGCGCGGCACGGTCTGGGATTCAGAAATGGGGCCGCGGGGTGGTGATGAGCTTAATGAACTGCTACCCGGGCGCAACTATGGGTGGCCGTATGTGTCCGGCGGGCTCGAATATTCCGGTAGCGTCGTGGCGCGACACAAACCCAAAGCTATCGAGTTTGACGAAAACTCCGCCGAATACAGCCTGGTTGATATCACTCCATCACCGGCGATATCGAGCTTTGCCTTCTACA